ATCTGGGTTTATTTAGGAAGAGTAAGAAAATTATTCAGTAGCTCTCCTTGGTCCCTATAATGTGAACAGTTAGTTTAGTAACACGCATAATACAAACTTAATTCAAAAGTTGATTTTTGCCCAATGCTTGGATGTTGTGTGTATTAATATAATGGGCCCCACTTAATGCTGGAAAGTAGCTCCTGTGAACGAACTGTATACACCTGGTGGCATTTGAGGCTTGTAGTCCACTAGAAATATCTTTTTTCATAAGGGCTTTACTGTTTGATATGTTTGGAGTTTTACAGTGTAATGTTCAAGCCCAGAAATCCTTATTGTGTGACGTCAAGATCGCATTTTTGGTTTTTCTAGACATTTGAAGAAATGAACGTCAGGTTAAATTTTCTCGAAGGTACTTCATACTGGATACTAGAGGAAGACAGTTTCGTATGGTACATGGATAAACCACAGGTTGTAAAATCAGAAGGATTTTAAAACATAGAAAGTTAGTTTATTTTAGTATACATTTGAGATTTGTCACTGTTGTGTGCGTGTCAATAATTTGTTCCTTTATATTGCCAAGTAGTATTTGTACTGGATGTACTACAGTTTATTCATTCACCAGTTGAAGGACATTTGGGTTATTTCTGTTTTTCTTTTTTTGCCTAATTTTGCATAATTATGAATAATGCTGCTATAAATGTTTGTATCCAGGATTTTGTGTGCATATAAGCTTTCAGTTCGCTAGGATAAATACCTAGGAGTGGAATTGCTGGGTTATATTGTAAGGGTATGTTTAACTGTAAGAAACTGCCAAACTGTTTTCCCACCAACAGTGTATGAGAGTTCATTGGTTTCATATCTTTGACAGCATTTGGTATTGTCATGATTTTTTTGTTTTTGTTTTAGCTGTTTTAGTAGGTATGTTGTGGTATCTTATGGTTTTATTTACAGTACTTTCCTAACGATGATGAGAATCTTTTTGTGTGCTTATTTACTATTTGTATATCTTGTCAGCTTATCTGTTCCAAGTTCTTTGCACATTTTCCTATTTGGTTGTTTGTCTTTTTTTGTCTGAGACAGAGTCTCGCTCTGTTGCACTGGCTAGAGTGCAGTGGCATCATCATAGCTCACTGCAACCTGAAACTACTGGGCTCAAGTGATCCTCTTGCTTCAGCCTCCAGAGTAGCTGGGACTACAGGCATGCCCCACCATGCCCAGCTAATTTTTCTATTTTTTGTAGAGACGGGGTCTTGCTCTTGCTCAGGCTGATCTTAACTCCTGGCCTCAAGCAGTCCTCCTGCCTCGGCCTCCCAGAGTGCTAGGATTACAGGCGTGAGGCACCACGTCTGGCCTTATTAGTGAATTGTAATAGTTATCTGCCTATTCCTAGATATCAGTTGTTTTATAGATACTTGTACACTGAATATTTTCTCTCATTTTGTGGCATGCCTTTTCATTTCTTTATGGTGTCTTTTGAAGAGCAGCGGTTTTTAATTTTAATTAAGTTCAGTATATTAACTGTTATATAGTTCAGGCTTTTTGTGTCTTGTTTTAGAAATCTTTGTCTTTCCCCAAGGTCATGAAGACTTTATCTTATATTTTCTTCTATAAGCTTTATTGTTTTAGCTTTTACATTAGGTCTCTCCACACAGATTCTCCATGGGACTAATTGGCTTTCACACAAGAGAGCAGTCTCAAGGTAGTCAAATTTCCTATATGACAGCCAACTTCTTCTAGACTGAGCAGTCCAAGAAATTGAGTTTTTCAACTAGATAATTTATTTGGTCTACTTTTTAAAGCTAAGAAGTAAAATAAATGCATTTGGGGCAGTCATTATAGAAATTATCTAGTAAGTAACATTAAAACATCTTTTAATTTTCTTTCAGTCAGGTGAAATTAACATAAGATTAGTCATTTTAGTGTGTACAAGTCAGTGGCATTTAATACATTCACAGTATTGTGCAACCATCACCTGTATCTAGTGTCAAGATAGTTTCATCACCGTCATAGGCAGCCCTTCCCCATTTCACCCTTCCCCCAGCCTCTGGCAACTACCAATCTGCTTTCTGTCTCTCTGTATTTATCTATTCTGGATTTTTCATATAAATAGATTCATGTAATATGTGCCTTTTTTGTTGCTTTTTTCACGTAACTTAGTGTTTTCAAGGTTCATCCAGATTGTAGCATGTATCAGTACTTCTTTCCTTTTTATGTCTGAAAAGTATTCCATTGTATGTATATACTTTATTTAACCAGTCACCTGTTGATAGATGGTTGGTTTGTTTCCATTTTCTGGCTATGCATGAATAGTGCTACCATAAACATTATGTACGAGGGTTTGCCTGAGTACCTGTTTTTAATTCTGAGTATGTATAGGCATACCTTGGAGGTATTGTGGGTTCAGTTCCAGACCATCTCAATAAAGTGAATATCACAATTAAACAAATCACACACAATTTTTTTTTTGGTTTCCTAGTGTATATAAGAGTTATGTTTACACTATACTGTAGTCTATTGAGTATATTATAGCATTAGGTCTAAAAAGTGTACATAAAATAATTTTAAAATACTTTATTACTAAAAAATACCAAAAATCATCTGAGCCTTCAGAAAGTTGTAATCTTTTTGCTGGTAGAGGGTCTTGCCTTGATGTTGGTAGATGCTGACTGATCAGAGTAGTGGTAGCTGAAGGTTGGGGTAGCTCTGGCAATTTCTTAAAATAAGACAGCAATGAAGTTGGCTGCATTGATGGGCTCTTTTATTCATGAAAGATTTCTCTGTAGCATGAGATGCTTTTTAATGTTCTGTAGCATTTTATCTACAGTAGAACTTTGAATAGTGGAGTCAATCCTCTCAAACCCTGCTACTGCATTATCCCTTAGTTTATGTAACAGTCTTATGTATGTTGTCATTTCAGCCACGCTTGCAGTATCTTCACTAAGAATAGATTCTATCTTAAGAAACCACTTTCTTTGTTTATCCATAAGAAGCAACTCTTCTCTGTTTAAATTTTATCATGAGATTGCAGTGATTCAGTTACCTCTTCAGGCAATACTGAAGTCCTAAACCTCTCAGAGTCATCCATGAGAGCTGGAATCCACTTCTTCCAATTCCAAACTCCTATTAATGTATGTTTGTTTGTTTGTTTGTTTGTTTTTTCTCTTCTCTTCTCTTCTCTTCTCTTCTCTTCTCTTCTCTTCTCTTCTCTTCTCTTCTCTTCTCTTCTCTTCTCTTTTCTTTTCTTTTCTTTTCTTTTCTTTCTTTCTCTACTCCCATGAAGCACAACTATTGTTAATGACATCTAGAATGACGAATCTTTTCCAGAAGGTTTTCAATTTATTTTGCCCAAATCCGTCAGAGGAATCACTATCTATGGCAACCATAGCCTTACAAAATGTATTTCTGAAACAATAAGACTTGAAAATCAAAATTACTCTTTGATCCATGGGCTGCAGAATGGATGTTGTCTTAGCAGACAGGAAAACAACATTAACTTCCTTTTATATCAGCATCAGAGCTCTTGGGTGACCAGGTACATTGTCAATGAGCAGTGATATTTTGGAAGGACTCTCTTTTCTGAGCAGGAGATCTCAAAAGTGGGCTTAATATTTTCAGTAAATCATGCTGTAAACAGATGTGCCGTCATACAAGCTTTGTTGTTTCATTTATAGAGAGCAGGTGAGTAGATTTAGCATCATTCTTATGGGCCCTAGGATTTTCAGAATGGTAAATGAGCATTGATTGGCTCAATTTCAAGTTACCAGCTGTATTGGCCCCTAACAAGAGAGAGCCAGCCTTTCTTTTGAAGCTTTGAAGCCAGGCATTGACTTCTCTTTAGCTTCTAGACAGCATCTTCTTCCAGTAGAAGACTATTTCATCTACATTGAAAATCTCTTCCTTAGTGTAATAACCTTCAATGATCTTAGCTAGATCATCTGGATAACTTGCTGCTTCACCTTGTACTTTTGTGTTATGGACATGGCTTTTTTCCTTAAACCTTGTGAACCAGCCTCTGCTAGCTTCTTCTGTAGCTTCTTTAATTCTCTTGGCCTTCAAAGAATTGAAGAGGGTTAGGGTTTTGTTCTGGATTAGGCTTTAGCTTAAGGGAATGTGTCTGGTTGAGGGAATGTTGTATCTGGTTTGATCTTCTATCCAGACCACTAAAACTTTCTCCATATGAGCAATGAGGATGTTTCTCTTTCTTATTAATATCATTTGTGTTTTCACAGGAGTAGTTCTTTTAATTTCCTGTTCACGACTTGGGTAACTGCAAGAGACCTTGCTTTTAGCCTGTTTTGGCTTTTGACATGCCTTCCTTACTAAGCTTAATCATATCTAGCTTTTGATTTAAAGTGAGAGATGTGTGACTCTTTTCGTTTCACTTGAACACTTAGAGGCCATTGTAGGGTTATTAATTGTTCTAATTTCAATATTGTGTCTCAGGCAGTAGGGAGGTCCAAAGAGAGAGGAAAGAGAGAGAGATGAGGGGAATACCTGATCAGTGGAGCAGTCAGAACACACAACATTTATTGATTTTCAACATCTTATATTGGCATGGTTTATGGCACTCCAAAACAATGACAGTAGTAACATCGAAGATCACAGATCACTGTAACAGATATAATAATAATGAAAAGGTTTGAAATATTGTGAGAATTATCAAAGTGTGACACAGAGACAGAAGTAAACACATGCTGTTGGAAAAAATGGTACCAGTAGACTTGCTCAATGCTGGGTTGCCACAAACTTTCAATTTGTAAAATACATGATATCTGCAGAATGTGATAAAAGGAAGTGCTATGAAATGAAGTAGGAGTGGGATTGCTGGGTCCTATGGTAATTTAACTTTTGAAAAACTGCCAAACTGTTTTAGTGTTGTACTATTTTATATTTCCACCAGCAATGTAGGAGGGTTCTAATTTCACCATGTTCTTGCCAATATTTACTATTTTTCTCTTTAAATTATAGTCATCCTAGTAGGTGTGAAGTAATATAATATATCCTTGTGGTTTTGATTTGGATTTCCCTAATGATAATGAGCATCTTTTTAAGTTCTTGTTGGCCATTTATGTATCTTCTTTGGAGAAATGTCTCTTCAGGTCTTTTGCCCATTTTTAAATTGGGTTGTTTGTGTTTTGCTGTTGAGTTGTTAGAGTTATTTATATGTTCTGAATACTAGATCCTTGTGTATAATTTGCAAATATTTTCTTCCATTGTATAGGTTGTATTTTGACTTTCTTGATATCCTTTGATATACAAAAGTTTTTAATTTTGATGGAGTCAAATTTATCTTATTCTTGTTGTTCATGCTTTTGGTGTTATATCTAAGAATTCATTGTCAAATCCAACATTGAGATTTACCTGTATATTTTCTTCTAAAAGTTTTATGATTTTACCTCTTATATTTAGATGTTACTCTATTTTGACTTAATTTTTGTATGCGGTCTGAGGTAGGGGTCCAGCTTCATTCTTTTACATTTGGATATCCAGTTGTACCGAGTACCATTTGTTGAAGATGCTATTCTTTTCCTATTGAACGGTGTTAGCACCCTTGTTGAAAATTGACCATAGACATAGAGGTTTGCTTCAATTTTTTTCCATTGGTCTGTGTCCTCATGGCAGTACCACACAAGTTGATAGTTTTTACCTGCGGTATATGCTAGTGTAGTGTATTGATTTTTCAAGCTTTGATTACATTTTAGAAATTTTTTAAAACTTTGGGTAAATTTATTAAACAAATTATTTCATCTAAGTGTCAGCTTTATAACAACACACATACTTAATAGATGGTTTTATTTTAAAACTTTTTGCTGTTTCATCATTTGTCTGACTTCATACAGAATAGTGATGTAGGTATACATTATATGTACATTGTAATTGGATTTTCACTGTGAGTTAAATTTACCTTGAACCTCTAAATGAAGTGCTAGTTACATAAATTCATCCTGCCAGAAGATGTGATGGGAGCAGAGTAGGAACAGCAGATTTGGACTAAGCATTACACTGGGAAGGAATCACATACCTATGACTTCTAGAGAAAAGATGGTTAGAAATACTGATTTTTACCCAGGTTATGGTTTTTAACTTTAGTAAATACAACAGATCAGAATATGATATGCCTTTTAATGAAGTCTATTTTAATCTTTCTGTTTTTACCCTGTAGTAATTTATTTGCTAAAGAAACTGGGTTGTTTGTCCTTTTGTTTCTCACAGTCTAGCATTTGTTGATTGAATTCCTGTGGTGCAGTTTAGTATGTTCCTGTGTTCTTCTTTTCCTGTAAATTGGTATTTGGATATACCAATTCAAATCCTAATGACTACTAGATCAAATTTTGGTAAATTTTATTTTGTTATATGTTCCCTTCATAGGTAATGTTTATGCCTTCCATCAGGAAGCATATCATACCTGCTTATGTCTTTTTCCATTATGTTAGCTAAGTTTACCTCAATTCACTTTAGTTTTAACAATTCAAAGGATTTTAGTGAGACAGGACAGTGGATATGAACTGTATAGCCCAAGAATCTGGGTTCAGGTTTTGATTCTTTACGTACTAGTTCTGTAATTTTAGAAAGCCGCTTTCCCTTTCAGTGTTAAGTTCCTTATCTGTATGATGAAGATGATGATGTGTATTCATAGGGTTGTTTTGGAGATTAAAAGAGGTAAATACATGGACTACTATTGTTGTTTTATGAATTTTAAAATATCATAAATCTAAAGGGTGGTTTATCTTGATTTGTAAATGAGGAAATTTAAGTTTGGATGGCTAATTTTTTGGCTTATCTGGGTTTATTTTAGGAAAGAAGTAAGAAATTATTCAGTAGCTCTCCTTTGTCCCTATTAATGTGAACAGTTAGGTTTAGTAATCACTCATAATAAACTTAATTCAAAAGTGATTTTTGCCAATGCTTGGGATGTTGGTGTGTATTAATACTAATGGGCCCCACTTAATGCTGGAAAGTAGGCTCCTTGTTGAACAGACTGTATACCATGGTGCATTTTGAGCTTGTAGTCCACTGAGAAATATTCTTTTTTTCATAAGGAGCTTACTGTTAATGTTTGTGTTTTACAGTGTAATGTTCAAGCCCAGAAATGCCTTATGTGGATCGTCAGAATCGCATTTGTGGTTTTCTAGACATTGAAGAAAATGAAAACAGTGGTAAATTTCTTCGAAGGTACTTCATACTGGATACTAGAGAAGACAGTTTCGTATGGTACATGGATAACCCACAGGTTTGTAAAATCCAGAAGGATTTTAAAAGCATAGAAATGTTTTATTTATTTTAGTATTTAACATACCATACTGGTTTTAGGATTTGTCTTCCTCAATGATATATATTTAAATTTATTTCCATTGGCTCTACTCTCCTGCCCTGCACCCCTGATCCCTTCTGTCTTGTTTGAAATTCAGAAGGTGAAACTAAGTTTGTTTGATAAAAATTCATGCCTTTGTATATGTTTTTGCCTTCTTTGTTAGAAAAAGGCGCTCTCTGGTAGAAAATTCTTAACTCATTTAGATTTAAGATGCTGTATCTAGGGATAGAGACTGCTGTCGTTTAATAAATAACTAGTACTCTTGCACACATGTAGTCCTTTCATCTTGTAGTGTTAGCCTTGAGTGCCAGTCATTGTGATGTCATCCCTGAAGTGAAATGCATTTTTTTTTAATTTTTATTTTTTTGAGACAGAGTCTCACTTTGTTGCCCAGGCTAGAGTAAGTGTGGTGGCATCAGCTTAGCTCACAGCAACCTCAATCTCCTGGGCTCTAGTGATCCTACTGCCTCAGCCTCCCGGGTAGCTGGGACTATAGGCATGTGCCATCATGTCCGGCTAAGTTTTTGTATATATATATATATATTTTAGTTGGTCAATTAATTTCTTTCTATTTTTAGTAGAGACGGGATCTCGCTCAGGCTGGTTTCGAACTCCTGACCTCGAGCAATTCACCCGCCTGGGCCTCCCAGAGTGCTAGGATTACAGGCGTGAGCCACCATGCCCGGCCTGAAATGCATTTTGATTTTATTGTTGTCTTGCAAATTCTTGGGGTAAATGTCATAAATTAAAAATCAGAATCCTCATTTTAAGATCTATGAGAGACCTGAGATTAGAGATCATCTGTTGAGTAGTTTTAAACTTTCTTTACCTATAGAACTCTTTATCTCCAAGTAAAAATTTTTATAAAAGTTGAAAATGGACATATATGTTGCAAGGAAATACATGCAAAGCAAGGGGTGAATCCCTAGCGAACTTCTGAACTGATTTTGTCTGGTGGCTTCTTGTTGAAGTGAGGAATGGAAAGTCTAGGGAAGAGCGGGGACTTGTAGGAGGTTCTCTTTTGTTTCACAGAACAGCAGCTAGATCTCCTGATAACTACTCCAGTATTCTTTACTGCTATCTACTGATTTTTGATTAGATAAGACACATACATGCTAATGCATGTGCATTTATTTATATAAAATTTGAGTTGTAAGGGACTTTAGTGTTAATTTAATCTCCTTAAGTTAAGAAATCCATCCATCCCTGGTCTTTATTTTAGCTGTTGTTTGAACTACATGTTACTAAAAAATATTATAGTGGGGACAGCTTCAATCATTTTTTTTTCTGTGACCCAAAATCTAATTCCTTGTGTCTTCTACCCATTAATTCTATTTTTACCTCTGATTCTCTTGTAAAGTAAATTTTAGTCCTTTATGCACGGGTAGCCTTTCAAATTCTGGAGGATAATTTGTATGTTAATTCAGTTTATATGATTTGAGTACTGACTTTGTATGATACTTTTTTTTGGTGGGAACTATCTGTTTTCTATCACTATCTTTATAGAGGTTATTGACATCCTATTTTTCTCCTTTATCTCTGGGTGTAATCGGCCTTCTTGCATGGTAGCCATCTGGCTATGCAACTACGTGATTATTACCCTTATTTACTTGATGAGGGTCTGTGGGAGAAACAACAGATCAGCAAAAAGCAAAAGTTCATGTTTATCTTTTTTTTTTTAATATAAATCATATTCCTCTCTTTTGTCTGTAATTAGGTCACAATCCCCTTAGAAACTCCATTTCCTAAAGTAGAGACATCATCCTCCTTGACTCCCCCTAATTCCTGTTAACTGGATTCCTGTTTGTTCCTGGTTCTCTTCATCCTTTTGGTCATTGCACGGTTCTGCCTATGTTGAACTCTTCTCCCTGATTTGTCTCTTTCACTTCATAAGGTCCAATTGACTTATATATGGTTTCTCCTGAATTGTACTTAAAACTCCTTGTTTTTCTATTTTCGTGCATAATAGATTCTTCTTATAATTCCTCCTTTTATTGGTACTTCCAAATTAACAGAACTAAAAGAAGAAGATAAGTACAAAATAGGATATATTTATTATCCTGAATGAAGCATGAACTTGGAATTCAGAGGAAGGTTGCAATGATAGCAAGTAGAGGATGTTGAAGTCTTGATGTAGATGGTAATATTTGAATTTGACCTAGAAGGTTGGATATAATTTTGGCTAAGAGGTAGAGAAGTAGTCAAAGAATAATGAGGCAAAGAAATCAGAACAAGAGAACCTGTGGTGTAGTTGGAGAATGCTTTATTTTGGCTATAGCAGGGAGAGTATTTATTAAGATTTGTGCTCAGCTAGGTCTTTTTCACATGAACTTTGTTAAAGCCAGATCTCTATGTTGTAAATAATGCATTGGTTTTTCTGGATATGGCACGGAATTTAAAATTTTTCAGTTCATTCTTATTAATTTTATCTACGCTTTTCGACTTAAGAGAATCTTTTAAAGTTTTGATTCTGCTAACTGGTGTATTAGACATTATTACCAATTTTGTATCACTTTTTTTCCTTTTTTTTTTTTCTGAGACAGTCTCACTCTGTTGCCTAGGCTAGAGTGCCATGGCGTCAGCCTAGCTCACGGCAACCTCAAACTCCTGGGCTCAAGCAATCCTTCTGCCTCAGCCTCCCGATTAGCTGGGACTACAGGCATGTGCCACCATGCCTGGCTATATATTTTTAGTTGGCCAATTAATTTCTTTCTATTTTTAGTAGAGATGGGGGTCTCGCTCTTGCTCAGGCTAGTTTTCGAACTCCTGACCTTGAGCAATCTACCCGTCTCAGCCTCCCAGAATGCTGGGATTACAGGCATGAGCTACCGCGCCCAGCCAATTTTGTGTCACTTTTAAATGTAATAATCAAGACATATCTCTTCATGAAAACTTTAGTAAAATGTTTTGCTAAGATTATATTAGTCTGAACCATATAAAATTGTCAATATACAACCATTTTGAATTACTTAAAAATGGCAATTTAATATGGTTCAGTTAGTCTTATGTCAAGGTGCAATAAGATGATTATACTGATCATAATAACCCTGGTAGAGAAAGAAAATTAGTTTGAGTCACCTGTCTTAGGGAGCCATTTCTTCCTATGATCACTGCTTTGTTTGCCACTAACCATTGCTTTTAAAATTCATTCTACCGTATTTCTAGGGATCATTTTGTGGCTTTCTGTGTTTGGTTGATAATGGTGGAGAATTAAATAATTAAGTAGGTGTATTAGAAAGTGAATTTGAAGAGATTTGAAAAAGTATTTGTCAAAATAAGTTCAGGAACTCAAATAACTAATGGCTTATTTCCCTTTTTACTTAAATGTCATATTAGTTTATTATTTCTTGTTCATTGTCAACAGATTTTGAAATGCAGTTTTTTGCAGTTGAACTTGATAGTAATACTTGTCTATAGGAAATGGATATTTTGCATATTCTTTTTCTCCCAGATACTTATGTTTCCCTGTACTGTGCTACTATTTAATCTCTGACTCTTTATATCATATTTTTGTTTCTCATTTCTCTTCCTTATACAAAGCCTTAAATTTCTCTTCAGCCAGTTAAAATAATAGACTTTTGGAAAACTTAAAAAAAATTATTATCCTTGAATGGGAGGGTAACAGTGTTTGAAAAAAATCACTTTGGTAATAGTTAGGAGTTCTTAAAGGTATTTTCACATTTCCTTTCCTTATCCAAAATTTAAAAAGCAAAATAGAAATCCTCTAAACATAAAATATTATGCATAAGACTACAACTAACCTTTTAATGTTACACATTAAAGATTATAATTTTATTTTATATCCATACTTATTGTGTATGATTTATATTTGGAAGTCTATACATAGTATACAGTTTAAAGCAAAACATAATGCAATTTTACAATACATACGAGTGAAAGTCTTTTAAAGATCTGTCCCTGTCAACAATAACCAATTCATGTTTGGGAATCTTAAGTCTTTGAAATGTCTAGGCTTCCAGTAAACTTATAGAGGTCTGAGAAAGGTACATCCTAATTATTCATTAGAATAAGACCGTAGATTTTTTTAAAAAGGTATATTAGGATAAAGTAAGTTAAAAAGTTAATCCTGCTCAATCTCTAGTGGAGGTAATTTTCAAAATCAAGAATGTTTTAATTTTACTTTTGAAATCTTCTGTCAGTTGTTTCATATATTTCATAAATTCTTTGTTACTTTTTCCCCAGATTCTTTTATCTGGTTTTCCTACCTCCATCCTCCTCCTCTGTAGTCCATCCAGTTTATTATATTATAGGATATATTAATTAAAGCAAATTTTGATTATAGGTCTGCTCAGAAGCCTTCTTCATTGCTTTCAAATTCTTTAGGTATAAATTCCTTGCTACTTTGTTCTTTATTTAGGTCCTCTTTGTTTCGATTTTCAGTTCAAGTTCTCAGACCATGGCTCTGTGCTGGAATTCTGTACAGCACTATATTACAGCCCAGCACAGCCACTTACCCCTTATAGCACAGAGCTTCTGTGTATCCTCAGCTGCTTGCTGTAGTTTGTTTTCTCTGCCTGGAATATTCTCTGTCCTATTTTTTGTGTTTCCAAAATTTTCCTTTAAAATCCTTCAGAGTTTTTCCTCATAGCTTCAGTCAGAAATGATTTTCCTTCTTTGTAATTCTTTACCCTTATGTCTTTTATGACACAAGCCACATCTAAAACTTGTTAAGGGAAGAATAAAAGTATTTTCTGTGAAAGTGCCAATATATGCATTCCTGGCCATGATTTAAAGAGAATTAATTAATAATTTCTTTGGATAAAAGTATTAATGTGGATTGAATATGATGTTACTAACACTAAACCACTTAAAGGGGGAAAAGCTAATCCATTTTTTCAAGAGATATATTTGATAAAGAACTGTTAATAGAACAAAGTAATATGTATAGTCTTTTGAAATTTCTTAAAATTATATATTTTTTATGTCTCTAAATATTTTCCCATTGCCTTCAGGAACAGAATCTCATCTCGTTTATGGCTTTTTAAGCTCATGAAAAAGATTATGAGTTTAGCTACAATGATAAAAATAGCCTTTTAGTCCTAAAATGCATTATGGTGGAACAGAGTAGAATTCAGTTTTGTTATTCAGGTTGTTGACTTGATTTCAGATATAGTAAACACTTGAACTAAAAAAGGTTGATTTGTAAAATGGGATATTAAAAAATCTAATTTCTTAATTTTTAGTATATATGGAGCATTATAGTATAAAATAAATTTGTAATGTTGGATATTAATTATATATTAATAATTTATTTCCAGAACCTACCTTCTGGATCATCACGTGTTGGAGCCATTAAACTTACCTACATTTCAAAGGTAGTCCTTATACATTGTCTTATATTCATCTGCGAATTAAAATCCCTCTGAGTGGGAGTATTACTGAAAGTAGCAGTTTTCTTCGCATGCCTTTTAATGGTGGTATTCAGGTTCATAATGTGCTGAAAAAGGTACCTGATTACTATGTTTAGGAAGTTCTTTAAATTGATAAAATTAGGAAAAATATGAATTTACTTACAGGATGTGGCAAATTGCAAAAGTTAACACTTTTATGATGACATATAAAAACATCAGAAAGGGAGAAATCAGTTAACAATTAGGTTCTACCTTGAGAAAGTTAGGAGAATTTTTTAAGTCTGTATTATGTTTATTTAGACTGTTTCCAACTTTTAAATTCCGTTGTCTTTGATTTTGTGTTTCTTAATGTTTTATTTTGAGGAAAATGTGGACCATTTTCATATTAAAAGGATGATTTTTCTCTTTTCACTTTGTCTTTACTAACTTATGTTTCTTGTTGGTAAATTTGTTTTTCTGGCATTTTTGCTGTACTGTTTATTTTTTATTTTGAAAAATGTATATTTTTATATTGGTCAGATAGCTTTTTTTTTTTTTTTTTTTTGAGGCAGTGTCTCTGTCTCCCTGGCTGGAGTGCAGTGGCATCATCAGAGCTCACTGCAACCTCAAACCCCTAGGCTCAAGCAATTCTCCTGCTCTAGCCTTCCGAGTAGATGGAACTATAGGCATGTGCCATGACACTCAGCTAATTTTTTCTATTTTTTTGTAGAGATGGGGATCTCACTCTTTCTTAGGCTGGTCTCAAACTCCTAGCCTCAAGCAATCCTTCCTCCTTGGCCTCCCAGAGTGCTAGGATTACAGGCTTGGGCTATGGTGCCTGGCTTTTATTTTCTTCTAGTAGTGTTTTGGGAGCTGAGCTAGAGACACTGAGGTGCTTGCCCTGGGTGATTTTTGTGTTTTACACAAAAGCTGTGAAAGTTTGTTGATGACTTAAAATATGAGTTGCAAAAGGTAGCAATACTGTTATTAAATAATGTGTACCATTATGCATCTACTGCGATCTGTTGGCAAAGGTAGATCACTTCAACAAAAGACTAATTTATGAATGAATGTACCTCTGTTTAGAAGACAGATTTTTTAAATAAATAAAATAGTTTATTATCAGTATTTCATAGAGCTGTTTATTATCATTGACCAAAATAATAATAATAATTTGGCTTGAAAAATAAAAACTACATATTTAAAAGGAAACATTTTCTGTTAAAGTCATATTGTAAATTTACAAAAGACAAATACTGTTTAAGTATTCGTCAAGTGTTTCTGTTAATTCTGACATTTATAAAATGCTACAGGGTAGCTTGCAGCTTAAATTCTACAGAGATTATTAATATTACTAGGAAGCATAGAATTCCATTGTAAAATAAATTTTAGAGCACACTAGTTTGCTTCATTGCTTGATTACGTGCATAATGTAACATATATCGATTGCCAAGCAGTTTTTACTCACAGCAGAATGATGTGGGAAGGCCTATTTTATTGGAATAGGCAGTTGAGGGATGCAGTGCCCATTTGCCTATATTTTTTTAATTGTTACTTGGTTTCTTTTAAAAAATGGGTGTTATTTTTTGAAATAAAGTATTAATTCAGTAAAGCAGTCAGGGTGACTGGCCAGCTGCTTTTTCCACCTCCATTGCTCCCCTTTGAAAATATAACCTCTTTTCTATACAGTTCTGTTAACTTTTATCTCTGTCCTAAGCTTACCAAACTTTGAATTGTACAGTTTATACTCTACTTTAGACATGTCACTTTTTTTCCAGAATTTATATCTGCAATAAACTTCGGTATGACTCAGAGCTGTGAACTTGTAGTTTGGCTCAGTGAGAAAACCTGGACTTTGAATTCCTTTTGAACGTACAAAGCAGATGTAATTACAATTATGAGTTCTACCACTGGGCAACAGCATGGCAATAGTCATGAATGGGCTTCCAAGAGCTACTTTATTTAAAGCGATAACAGCAATCAGGTGTAGCTCGTTGCTTCACTTTCTGAAATGAACCACGTGCTATGTTTAATAAAGTGACCCCACTATCCTGGAGTATTCGCCTATTCTCAAGTACCATTTTGGTTTTCTCATAGCAGATTGATGCTTTAATTAATTAAGATTACAAATTTAATTTAAATGCTTGTATTTTAGGGCTTTAAATACATAATCTCTCCCTTGTCTTCAACCATTTTTGCTTATAAATTATTCATAGCTAATTTAGAAATATATTATTTGGGAGAATTCATAATTTCTATAGAGTATTCATTGAGGATATTTTGAAAATGTTAAACTAAAATTATTTGTATGTGGACATAAAGCCTAATGGTTTACCTTCAATTTCTCCTTAACATTTTCTTTGAAGAAAAACCAAGTTTGTTTAAAGAAAACATGAAGTATCATTTGTTACGTCTTATATTTGAAACTCACATCCCATATTTAATTTGCTGTTCTTTTTCAGTTGCCTTTAAAGTTTAATTTTAGATCTGTTTGCCAAATGCATATGACTATTGGGAAATCATACATTTGGAAGTTCACGCAGTATTTAGGATTGGTTATAGGAGAATATGAAGAAGTGAGTAATTCATCTTTATTTTTCTCATTAGGTTAGCGATGCAACTAAGCTAAGGCCAAAGGCTGAGTTCTGTTTTGGTAAGTAGCCATATTTTATGTTAGTTATTTTAAATTAAACTAATAATTACATCATATTGTAAAAGAAATCACAGATGACTGCACAAACCAAACCTGTGACTTAATGAATTAGTTGAAGGAGAATTCCCTGGTAACCACCATCCAGATGAGGAAGTAAAACTTTGCCCTTCAACCCCCACCCTTGAAGCCTCTTTTCCTGTGGCCCATCCTAGTCATAACCTTCTCCCTCCATCCATATGTAAATGTTATCCTAGTATTTGTAATAATCACCTCCAGCGATATTTCAGGTAATTTTTAACTTTCTATCTCATTCTATTTTAAATACATAAATAATGAAAATGATTTGGTCTTCAGCTTGTGGATAATAGAGAAATTTACAGTAAGGGGCAGGTGAAGTTGAAGGTATTGGATTAACTTGTTCAGCAAATGTTTAGTGGATGCCTAGTACATGCTAGGCATTGTGCGTGGCACTGGGGCTGTGAGATGAACAAGAAGCAGTTGTTGCCCTTATGGATCTCACAGGCTGGTTAGCTCATGCACAGATATGATACCAGGTAATTGTCATTGCATTTGTCACAATTAGTAGATAAAGGGGTGTGCAGTCTATTAAAGAAACACAATCGAAGAGCTTCAAATCCTTATTGGGGATCTCAGGAGTCAGGGGAGCCACACTAGAGGAGGAGATACTTGAACTGGTGGCCAGCTAGTCTCCTGATCATCCTTCACCACTGAGGAGAAGAGGTGGAGGACCATACGGATCGAGGCATGCCAGCAATAGTGTGGTGTGTGTGGAACTGACACTTAGTGAAGTTGGAGGGGATGATGAAAAGCTGGAGGCAGGCGAGAGTCAGGATTCAGTGTGCTGACAAGGGATATGTTCTATTATTTTGAAAAAGGGAGGAGAGAAAGAGAGCATCTAGAAGCAGGTGTAAGGTAAAGGAGGTTGGTTTGCTTTTTTGTGTGAATAGGGAAGTTTTGATGCAGGTAGATTACAAGTAAGTGGCTTTACTTATACCACATATACTGCTACTACTATATGTATATGAACTACTGTATGTAAGGTCCTGATTTAGGATGGTGGCAATGGGAGAAAAAGGAAGAATGAAAAAAACATTAGAAGGAAAAGGGCAGGGACTTGGTGGCTGGATATGTGGGAGTTGAAGGGAAGAGAGAGGTAGCATGAGAGTTTGTTTTAAGGAAAGAAATGAAGAATCAGGGAGATCTGATTAGATAGGGTGAAATGTTTGCTAAGGAGTTTGAAACAGTGGGAGAACTTCCCAGTGAAAATCATCTGGTGACAGTATATGAAGATTGGATGGAGCTTGAAGATGAAGAATGGAGAAGTTTGGAGTCTTAAAATAGTGGGCGATAGTTGGAGCTGGGAGAATTGATATCCCCTCAGAGAGTATGTTAATGGAAGGGACAAAAATTCGAAGTGGCCAACAGATATCAGAAGGGAATATTTTACATTAAAGTAAAAAATATACTTTTTTGGGGTAGAATTGATGTTAAAGATCTTTGCTCTCTTTTGCTTGTAAAAGGCAGGTTTCTTCTGTAGACAGTATGTTAAGAGTCCTATGTATACAGAAAGAAAATATGATATGAGCATGATGAAATATAGCTGTTCAGGGAATCCTCTATAATGCTTTTATCACTACTAAGAAACTACTTAAAATGTTACATGTTTATTACAAATTATAATTTTGCTTACTAAATAAGAAAATGCCTCATGGCCTTGTGAATGAAAGGCTACTGGGGGCAAGTCAAGTAACAGAGAACTTGGAATTTTAGAGCATATAATCCACATACTTTTGAGACATCTTTTTCGGAAAAATCTCAAACTTATACTTGAAAAAATAGTAATATGTAGTAATAGGTTCAATGCTCACAGTTATTGGGGGTATTTAGAGTGGTGGATTTTCATTGGAATCAGAGATTAAGATTAGTCATTTACTGGTTCTGTCAGTAGTTTATTAGTCCTCTACAACTAGTGGGAGTAGAGAAAAGATTTATACAATGCTTGTCTTCAGGGAGGAAGGCACTGGCCTCTAAAATAGAACCACAACTTCCATTCAGAATGGCAACATATATCCTCTCAAATTGCTCTAAAAGAGTGAGAACAAGAAACACTCAAACCATCTTTGATGAAGGGAGCAGATATCTGTAACCCTCAGTGTATAGAGCAGGCATCCTCAAACTACAGCCCGCATGTGCCTAGCACATTTATCTGGCCCTCCGGGTGTTTTTGCCGCTGCTGCCTGTACTGCTGAGCAGCCGAGTTGTCCCACGCCCACAGTGCGTACTCTTCAATGGTCTGAGGGACAGTGAACTGGCCCCCTGTTTAGAAAGTTTGAAGACCCCTGGTATAGAGATTGAGAGTAGTTAGAGGAATGGTAGGTAACTAAGCAGAGTAGAAGAACAGGCTAGTGAAAAGCTCACCATTTGTAGACTGCCCCACCCCAGCTCTAGACAGGCTTAGGTACCGGAGGTACACTTTCTGAGTGAAGCAATAGTGAGGAGGGACCAAAAAATAGGAACTTTGTTTATCCATATAAGACACCCTTCCTCTATCCCAGCAGGAAATGGGATGAGTGCAGTCTCCAGAAATAGAATCAGTGAGGCTTCATAGTTGGGACACTAGTCCCAGAGAAGGAAAGGAATGAGGCATGAAACTAAAAATGGGATTAAATGAAAGTCTGCATGGTGAATGCAACCCTTTCCTGCATCCAACCTGAGAGCACTGGGCAGCCAGGTTAAGGTGGGATAAGACTCTGAATACCCTAGAGAAAAGACCCATAGGTCCTGAGGTCCTGACATCTGGACATATTTACCTACCAGAGGAGGTTACCATAGGTGACAACTGAGGTCCTACAATCAAAAACCTCACAACAACTCAAGAGAGCTTTCTCTCAGTCTTTTTAGTAACTTGCTTTTAAATATAAACAAATAGCCCAGGATTATTGAACATTTGAGGAGAGAGAATTATTAGATAGGAAAAGGAACATGAGACTAGGCAAAACTCAGAAGAAAAGTCATCTAAAAGTAAAACAAAGGTGAAGATAGATAATAGGAAAGAGAAACTCCATCAAGGAAGTTTGACATCTAATAGAGAAAGAGAGGATAGAGAAAACTGTAGATAATTGACAAAGGAATAATGTTATAAAATGTCTCATAACCACTTAATCTGTAACCATATTTGAACCATAACCAGTTGATCCTAGGTTGTGAGGTAACTTTTTGTTTGTAGTTAAGCTAATATTTTTGCTTAAAGTTTTATCCATTTGACGGATTCATGTATATTATAAAGATTTGAGATAAAATAAAGAAGTGCTCAAGTGAAAAGAGTATGAAGGACATAAGTCCCTGGGGACATATTTATTATTCAAGATGAAACCCTTGCTTTTTAAAAGCATGGCAATTTAGTGGTGTCAAAGTTTTGTTTTTTTATTGTTCAAAGTTTTTTTTTTTCATTTCCTGTCTCTTCCCATCCCATTCCCCATATTGCTAATACACCACTTTTCATTCAGTAATTTGCTTTATGTTTTTTTTTTTTTACAATGCTTCCATTTTGGAAATCTCCAGATGATGATGATAAGGGAGAATGTCTATTCTATCCCAGGCACTGTGTTAGTTTCTTTACATCCTTCATCTTCACCCCTTAAGGAAGGGGTGGGTGGCATTCCCATTTTATAGATGAGGAAGTTGGGACTCAGAGAGATTGAATGATGTTTATAAGATGATATTGCTCTTAAGTGCGTAACTAGTCAGGTCTGAGTGATTCCAGGCTCTGATTTTTTTCTATATCATATCACCATGCTCCTCTTGCTGTGAAATAGTTCTTAAGGAATATGAACATTTATTCAAACTGCAAGGTATACTAAGAGTCTTTTTAGGGATATATTTGCCTCTTGGACCTTATATAAATATTATTCATTCAAAAATACATGTATTGGCCGGGCGCTGTGGCTCACGCCTGTAATCCTAGCTCTTGGGAGGCCGAGGCGGGCGGATTGCTCAAGGTCAGGAGTTCAAAACCAGCCTGAGCAAGAGCGAGACCCCGTCTCTACTATAAATAGAAAGAAATTAATTGGCCAACTGATATATATATAAAAAATTAGCCGGGCATGGTGGCGCATGCCTGTAGTCCCAGCTACTCGGGAGGCTGAGGCAGAAGGATCACTCAAGCCTAGGAGTTTGAGGTTGCTGTGAGCTAGGCTGACGCCACGGCACTCACTCTAGCCTGGACAACAAAGCGAGACTCTGTCTCAAAAAAAAAAAATACATGTATTAAGCGTTTACTTTGTACCATATGTAGTATATTAATAAGTGCTTAGATTTTCAAAACTCTTCAGATGTTCTGGGCAGATTCCCAAAATAACATTAAAGGGAAAGAAGTCATTAAGGGGAGAGCTCAGCTTCAACCTAAGCTGGAAAAAGATTATGGAGGACTTAGTGATTGCTAGAAATTAAAAACAAGTTTTCTGTTGACATATATGATGCCCAGTGAGTTAGTAATTTATCTTAATATATATTTATGGCATTTACAAATGCCATAGAAAGATATAAACGATACAAAAGAACAGATTTACAGTGTATTAAATTTCTTTAAGCTTCCAGACTAGTTTTGTAGCACTTCATAAGATATGCTTTGACTTCCTTTCTAAGACTGTCATCTCAATTCAAGGAAGCTTTGGTTTAGAGTGTCTTGGTCTTAGTCCCAATTTCAAAATCTTGTGTGTTTGAGAAATAACTTTTTTTCCTTGAGGGTTTTCATTTCCCTCTTCTCTTAGTCATGCTCAGCTGGGTGCTAGTATATCATGTAAAATGGTAGAGACTCTTGGAAGTTATTTTTGTGTTTGAACAATTGAAACAGTGTAACTATCCAGATGCCTTAGCTCCTAGAATAGTATTTGTTTTTAAAAATAAATGCACATGATATATAATAAATAGCTTTAACTCAAGAGTTGATTATGGTAGTTTGTAGACAATTGTATGTGCAGTTGTGCTTTGTTTTATACAAATAGTCCCTAAAGAGAAATACATAAATTAAATTGCGTAAAAAGTTCCAAATGTGTTATGCTTTTAAATACAAAGAAATTCATAGGGTCTGGAAAAATAAATCTTAAGTTATGGAGATTTTTCCAAATATGAAATCTAGAGGAAATTAAGGAAAAGATTGGTAGAATATTTCTGTTTGATCAAAGATAACCGTGAACAGAGTAAAAAGACAAAAGTGACAGATTGTTAGAAGTACTTTTAATAAAACAAAAAGGATTTATAGACACTGCTATAAATTAATAAAAAATAAATGAACAACTCAGGAGAAGTATGAGTAAGGGAAATAAAATTTACAAAACAAATACAGATGGCTTATAAACATACAAAACTAATTTGTCTCAATAATCAATGAAACTCATATTAAACAAGTTATAATCTTTCACCAGTTAGGTTGTTAAAGAGCATTGTATCAGTCAGAGTCTGGTCAGGAAAACACCACACTAGGTATTTCAAGCCCAAGAGGTTTGTTACCAGAAATTGGCTACCTACATGTTGGAAGGCTGAAAGAGCACAAAGGGAATACTGAAGTAACCCAGAAATGAGAAACTGCATGCAGCAACTACCACTCCTGAAGCTAGAGAGACAAAAGGGAAGAGGACTATAACCTAGGGCTGTGGAGGAGAAGCCAATAGGAGGCTAGTTATTAGCATCTGAGGGTACTCTGTTAGGCTGGGGTAGGGAGCAGAAGAAGGCCCTGGAACAGTAGCTGGTTGTGTGCCGCTGTTGGAGGAAGGTTAGCAAGAACAGGAATCAGCAAGAGGATTTCCTCTCCCATCCCCCACTCCCACCTAGGGTCTAGGAAGGGTCTAGGAAGTATTGTTTGCATACTCCCAGTTCCAGTGTCACAGAGGCTTTGGAAACTAGAAACTAGAGATATACACAGGTGCTAATAACCAGTATTGGTGAGGGGTATTAGATGAAATAGGCCTTCGTATATGCTGTCAGTATGTAAATAGATTCAATCTTCTGGGAAGACAATTTGCTAACACCTATAAATATTTTAAATGTGAATTGTCTTTGACCAACAATTTCTTGACAGTCTATGACAAGAAATTTATCCCATAGAGATGCTAGCCCAAGTATGGAGAAATATATGTATATGGTGTTTCATTGTGATAGTTTATGTAATTTCAAAAACTGGAAATAGCCTAGGTATCCATCATTAGAGGATTGACTAAATATATGGTGGTATATCCATTTAATGAAAAACATGACTATAAAAAAATAAGAGGCCGGGCGCGGTGGCTCACGCCTGTAATCCTAGCTCTCTGGGAGGCCGAGGCGGGCGGATTGCTCGAGGTCAGGAGTTCGAAACCAGCCTGAGCAAGAGCGAGACCCCGTCTCTACTATAAAATAGAAGGAAATTAATTGGCCAACTAATATATATACAAAAAATTAGCCGGGCATGGTGGCGAATGCCTGTAGTCCCAGCTACTTGGGAGGCTGAGGCAGGAGGATTGCTTGAGCCAGGAGTTTGAGGTTGCTGTGAGCTAGGCTGACGCCACGGCACTCACTCTAGCCTGGGCAACAAAGCGAGACTCTGTCTCAAAAAAAAAAAAAATAAGAGTTTTACCTATGTTACTATGTGATAAAAGCAGTATCATGTGTGGTCTAACATATTTTATCAAATCCAAGGGAGTCACAATGTCAAACCGAATAAGGTTTCTCAGCTACTGCAAACATAATTTTAGAGGTAATACTTACAATATTTCATGTGTTTATTTTTTTTCTCTCAACAGTTATGAATGCAGGAATGAGGAAGTACTTCCTACAAGCCAATGATCAGCAGGACCTAGTAGAATGGGTAAATGTGCTGAACAAAGCTATAAAAATTACAGTAAGTATTTGTATATTTTAAAAAATTTTTCAACATCTGGAAATAATCTTTACATTTTGAAAATATACCTACTGAATGTCTCTAACTTACCAATAAGTTTCATACTCAAGTTTTGTTTAAAAGGCAGGTATTCAGAAAGTGAATATATTTTCTTGTACATGGTGACTGTCAGCCCTTTAATAACCCATGAATGCCTTTTTAACCTGTTATATGCCTAATAAAGATAGATGTTACTGTAGATCTTAACCACTGCTTATAATGTTTCTAGTGGAAAACAAACTTAGTATGTAGAGTTCTACCTTGAGGATGTATTTTTTTTTTCTTCCAGACTAGTATGAGACTTCCTGCCACCTGCCTAGGTAATAGGAATGGGCACTCCTGTCTTCTAAGCTATGACTGGCACTGGAGTCAGATAGGGCAGGAGTTGAAGATATGAGTAGATTAAGTGGAGGTGAAAGCTAGAAATGAGGTACAGGGACAGGGATTGGATCTGAAGAGATGTGCAGCCAGAGGGTCCTGCCTGTGTGCCCTTGAGGAGTCTGTCTCAGGCTCTAACCTTCTTTCCTCACCCAGTTTTTCCCCCTTGAGTCCCAGGACTTTATACCCTTGCCCTCCTTTCTGCTGCTACAACTTCTCACTTCCAACTTGGGCTTCTTTTCTTTTTGTTTTTCTGGTGAACCTTAGTATTTATTGATTATTTACGCTGTGCCAGATCTTAGACTGAAGGTTTTATTCAAGTTATCTGGAAAAGTGAGGCTTAGAAGGATTGAGTGACTTTTATAGTCTTCAAAGCTGGTAAGTTATGGAGCTAGGGGCCCAGCCCAGTCCAATTTGTCGGCTCTGGATCCAGAACTCTGAAGCACTGTACCTTACTGCTTCCTGAACAAAGAGGCTTCTCCTTATTCTTTTGTTCCTAAAGCCAAAAACAAACTTTACTAAGAGAGTTTACTACTGATGATGATGAGCAAGGGGACAGGTTCTGTTCCAGTTGTACCTTGCCTCACCCTTTTCCCCTTACACACTTGTAGTGAAACACAAAGTAGGCCCTGGAAAGGGTGGGGAAGGAGTTCCTTTGTGAGGTTCATGTCAATTGAAGTGTGTGTTTACTGAAGTGCAGTTAATTTACTGACCCTAAATGACTTATTCTTAAAGAACATGTGCCGTGAAAGTCAGCATATGTTAGTCACTTGTTAGTTTCTATCTAAAAATGAATGATTCTATATTTATATCAGAGTACAATAAAGAGTTAATATAGCAAAAGCTGTTCTCAGAGTTAAGTCAAATTTTTTGTCTTGCACTAGACCAGCTTGTTACCACACGACAGAAAACGCCTACGCACTGCATCTAATCTGTACATGAAGCAGAAGTTATTTTAGGTTTCTGCAGTTTCAGGAAAGCAATTTTTTGAAGTGATTCAGACATACATATTTTTAAAAGGTTTTAGCTGATCATTTTTAGGGTTTTCAGTAAATATTCCCTATTTGGAAAATTTATTTAGAAAGGCAGTATCTAGTAACTTTACTGGATTAATTCATTTTTTACAGTTTGTAGTTTAATAAGCAGCACTGGTTTCTTAGTGCTTTGAGAGAAAAAGTGAATGGTCTCGGCTTTGGGGGCTTCACTGTAGATTTATTGAATTGGAATTTCTGGGTATGAAGCCTTGGAATTGTATGTTTTTAACAATGTTCCTGGGTGATACCTTATTGCACACTAAAATATGAGAAACCACACTGCTTTGCAATCACACTAATAAATGGTGGTCTTTGAATATAATGTGAATGGTGTGCTCTCTAGTTCTGCCAATACTGTTAACAGTGGTTAGCTATGTGACAGGAAAATTGTTTAATTTTAAGTTAAGTTTTTATACCACTACTTCTGTGATTGTCAGTAGTATTTGTCAAAATGTTTCTGAAAGATTTCAAGATCCCTAAATGCCTTTTAAATCACTCGAGAGAGACTAACTTATGTTGAACATCATAATTGATGCTGCAAGTATTTTGTTATATTTTATTCACAGCCTTAAAATTTATAATTCAAATACACACTACATGCTTAACAACCTATAGATAGAAATATTGATTAGCTGAGTACTTTATTCCCTGATTAGGCCACATAAAAAATGTTTAGGCCAAGCACAGTGGCTCATGCCTGTAATCCCAGCACTCTGGGAGGCTAAGGCGGGCGGATTGCTCAAGGTCAGGAGTTTGAAACCAGCCTGAGCAAGAGTGAGACCCTGTCTCTACTAAAAATAGAAAGAAATTGTAAATTAATTAGCCAACTAAAATATATATAGAGAAAATTGACCAGGCATGGTGATACATGCCTGTAGTCCCAGCTACTTGGGAAGCTGAGGCAGAAAGATTGCTTGAGCCCAGGAGTTTGAGGTTGCTGTGAGCTAGGCTTATGCCACAGCACTCTAGCCTGGGCAACAGAGTGAGATTGTTGTCTCAAAAAAAAAAGAAAAGAAAAGAAAAGAAAAGAAAACCTTAAAATATATGTTCAACATTAGTGATACCTCTGATTTTTAATTCCGTTTTAATGAGGTATTAATATACAAGACTCTGCTGTTATCACAATAATTATCTGTTTATATTTGTGTTTTATCACTGGTACAAGTATTGGAACTCCTTTTCTTTATTATTTAGTTATTTATTTTTTTGAGACAGAATCTCTGTTGCCCTGGGTAGAGTACAATGGTGTCATCATAGCTCACTGCAACCTCAAATTCCTGGGCTCAGGGGATCCCTCCTGCCTCAACTTTCCAAGTAGCTGGGACTACAGGCATGTATGTGCCACCTCGCCTGGCTAATTTTTCTATTTTTAGTAAAGACAGGGTCTCACTCTTGTTCAGCATGGTCTGAAACTCCTGACCTCAAGTGATCCTCCTGCCTCAGCCTCACAGAGTGCTAGGATTATAGGCATGAGCCACTGCCCCTGGTCTCCTTTAAATTTCTTTCTTTTTTTTTTTTTGAGACAGAGTCTCCCTCTGTTGCCCGGGCTAGAGTGCCATGGCATCAGCTATAGCTCACAGCAACCTCAAACTCCTAGATTGAAGTAATCCTCTGCCTCAGCTTCCCAAGTAGCTGGGACTACAGGCATGAGCCACCATGCCTGGCTAATTTTTTATATAAATATTTTTAGTTGTCCAGCTAATTTCTTTCTATTTTTTTAGTAGAGACGGGGTCTTGCTCTTGCTCAGGCTGGTTTCGAACTCCTGAGTTCAAACGATCTGCTGGCCTCGGCCTCCCAAAGTGCTAGGATTACAGGCGTGAGCCGCTATGCCCAATTCTCCTTTAAATCTCTAATGAGAAGTTTTATTTTATTTTGAACATTTTGATTTTTGACTTAGGTTAAGAATTTATTATTATTTTTTCCTGCTGATTTTGGATTCATCATTTAGTCAGTCTTTCAACATCCATCGAGTCCTTACTATGTTTGTGGTAGTAGACTTTGTTTTGAAGCCAGGAAAGATTGAATATGCCATGATCTCTGTCCTAGGGACCTTGGGTAAGAATGAAGGAAAGGGAGGATTAATAGCAACAAGCTGTAAGCCAATACTGAGTGCTCTACTAAACAGAGAATAGAGTATAGTCCTGGAGTTTGGAAGAGTTACATAAACTTGGCTAGAATGTAGTACAACCAGGATCTAAACCCATATTACCTAATGCCTCTGAGCCTCTATTTTCTTACCTCTCAAACAGGAGTACTGCCCTTATCCATAGGTTTGACAGGAAGAGTAAATGAGAAACTGTAAAAATAGTACCTTCCTACATAAGCACTCAGGGAGTGATGACTGTCTTTATAAAGTATTACTCTAACAGGAAAATCAGTGTGAGAACTTAAAGGAGTACATACAAACACACTGTAAATAATTTTTATATAGATTTGTCAGTTACATATAAATGGATGATTAATTAGAAACACTGTGATAAAAGAGGCTCACATATATAATGCCAGTTGCAAAATGATTCATTTTATTTACTATTTTAGGTACCAAAGCAGTCAGACTCACAGCCTAATTCTGATAACCTAAGTCGCCAGGGTGATGGTGGAAAGAAGCAAGTGTCTTACAGAACCGATATTGTTGGAGGTGTACCCATCATTACTCCAACTCAGGTAGTAGATTAATTCTTCTACTGTGTGAAGGTCTACTCATTCTATGTTGATTTTTGTATTGTTATCAAAACTAAAACAATATATATTTACTGAATTAATATACTCAATTGTAAAAATTTTATTTTTGTTTATTTCAAAAGTATATGTTTATTGTGAAAAATATAGAAATCACAGATAACACAAAGTTCTTCATGTTTTCTCTGAGCCTTTCTTCTGTGTACTTTTCCCCTCAGAAATGGAGATATGAATTATATATTAGACTTTGTAAACAGATATTTTTACTTATATCATGGACATTTTCCAAGTCATCAGAAGTTCTTCTATATCATTTATTAGGACTGCATAGTATAATAGTTCTTCCATGGATTAACTATAATTTACAAGTCCTCTGTGTTTGGAAAAATAAAGTTTTCTTTTTCTTTTATAGACAGTGCTATGATGAACATTCTTGTAGCTTAAACCTTAGAGTCATAGATGATTTTTTTTTTTTTGGACTCATCCTTTAAAAGCTCTGTATTTGATCATATTTTTTAAGGAATAAATTTCTAGAAATAAAATTGCTGAGTCAAAGAGTTTGCAAATATGTATACTTTTTTAAACCTGTGTTTTTCTACAACGTGGCCTGCATGAGCTAAACAGAGGACTGGAATTTTGACTTAATTCTGTCTCCAAATTACTGCTATGCAAAATTAAGTCTTCATTTGGATATTAGGAAAAATGTAAATTGATAAACAGTTTTTGATGAAGTTAAAACTTTTGTATTAACTTAAATTTTTTGTGTTGCTATTGAAGGAATGAGTTTGTAATACAAATTAAATTACTAGTAGTTGAGAAACTAAGAATTTTAAAGTAATTAATCTATATTACCAATCTTAGGCATTTTCATTACCTATGTGTTTTTTAAACTTAAAAGAATTTAACACTTTATAAATCTTTTAAATCACATTGTATGATACACCACATTTTCAGGTCTTTTGCCAGGGGAGGGTGATTAATAGAAAGAGAAATCTTACAACATTAATTAATTAACCATTGACTACTTTCTTTATGCTCCACAAAGAGATTATTAATGAACAAAAATTCTTGCTCCAGTGGGAGCTTATTACATTTTTCACCAAAGTTGAATAAAAAATAAGCTAGGATTTGTATGTGCATTTGCATTTTCTAAAAGTAATGATTTTAACCTATTAAATTTCTGGTTATTATATAGCTAGATTAAGCTTCTTTCACTTGTATTTTTACTTTTGTTGACATAAGATATTGTTGTAGTTTGTATCTGTGGCTGTTTAAATTTTGTATATTATTAAGATTTTGTTGCATTTTAATCTTGGTATAGGTTTTTTGGTGGATTCTAGGATTCTGTGACCAGATGCCATTAAAAAGATCCCAAAGAATTTTATTGCTTTATTTTTTGTAATATAGTTTTTAAAAATTATTAAGTAATATTTACTTATTATTAAAAGCATTTAGGCAATAAGGAAATAAAATGTTAAATCTCATTTGCGTGATAAATTTATTCACTAAATATGGAGTAAACAGTGAGTTAAGTGCTGGGATTACAAAGTGAAGTACATAATTAATGTTGACCTCTCTAAATATAGAACAGGTTGAAAATTCTTCAAGATATTCATGACTCTTAAGATTTAAATTTTCAATTGAAATTTAGATATTCTTGAAAGTACACTTTGGGCCTACTTGTGGGATTCTAGATTATCAGATATTATAAATAGAAAACCAATGGTTTGAGGAACATGAAAACCTGAGTAGAGTTTTTTAAAAATATTGTATTTACATGTAAAATAAAAAATGACAACACTTTTAGATAGGGGCATAGAAGAAAGTCTTCAGGATCTAGGACTAGCAAGGAGTTTTTAGACTTGACATCAAAAGCATAGTCCATAAAGGCAGGAATTGATAAATTAGACCTCATCAAAATTAATAATGTTTGCTCTGTGAAAGACCCTGTTAAGAAGATGAAAAAAAAAAGCTACAAACTGGGAAAAAATATTTGCAAGCCACACATCCAACAAAGGACTTGCATCTAGAACATACAAAAAAACCCTCTCAGAACCAAACTGTAAAAAACCTAGGAAATCCAATTAGAAAATGGGCATAAATTGTTAACAGATATTTCACCAAAAGGTGAAAGATAAACAGATGACAAATAAGCACTCGAAAAGATGTTCACCATCATTAGCCAGTAGGGAAATGCAAGTTAAGATCATCATGAGATACCACTATACACCTGTCAGAACAGCTGAAATAAGAATTATTGACAACACAAAAGATGACAAGGTTGAGGAGGAACTTTATCTCTCATACATTGTTGGTGGGAATATAAAATAGTACAGCCACCCTGAAAAGGAGTTTGGCAGTTTTTTTTTTAATAAAAGTAAACTTGCAATTACTATAACCCAGCATTTGCACTCCTTAGTCATTTATCCTAGAGAAATGGAGAATTATGTTCATACAAAAACCTGTACATGAGTGTTCAGAGGAGCTTTATTCCTAATAGCCAAAAACTGTCAACAACTCAAATGTCCTTTAATGGGTAAATAAATAAGTTAAACAACTGTTAGTCCATCCATACCATGGATAGAGCAATAAAAAGGAATGAACTCCATAAGTACAAAGAACAACCTGGATGAATCTCTAGAGATATATGCTGAATGAAAAGAGGCAGTCTCATAAGATTACCTACTGTAGGTTTCCATTTATATTATATTCCCAAAAAGTCAAAATTATAGAGGTGGAGAACAAATTAGTGGTTGCCAAGGTATTAGGGATAGGAGTTCTAAAGGCGTAGGACAAGGGTGCCTTGTAGTGGTGACCAATTCTGTATCTTGAATGTGGTGGTTACACACATCTGCACATGTGATAAAATTGCATAGAACTGTGTGGGCACACATAATCGAGTGCATGAAAAACTGGTGAAATCTGAATAAGGTTTGTGGGATGTACCAATGTTAGTTTGTTGGTTTTCATAATGTGCTCTAGTTATTTAGTTTCCCTTTTGTGGAAAACTGGTTAAAAGGTACATAGGACCTCCTGTACATTTTTCGGGGCAACTTCCTGTCAATCTGTTTAATTATATTTCAAAATAAAAAGTTAGGCATCTCCCATCTCCCCCAAAAAAGCACGGTGGCAGGACTTTTACAGAACAAGAGAAGTGGAAATCTATGCTTTAATCAATCAGTGATGGGAAAGTTAAGACAAAGTATCTCAGATTAATTAGAAAACTCTTCACTTCAAAATCTGTGTTCTTATCTGAACAAAGATTAGATTTTAAGATTTTCTACTAGGATAACAACGTGAAATAAAAGTATTCCTTGAAGGTAAACAAGCAAGAAAAGGATTTATTTATTTTGCTTTATTTTAGAAAGAAGAAGTAAACGAATGTGGTGAAAGTATTGACAGAAATAATTTGAAACGATCACAAAGCCATCTTCCTTACTTTACTCCTAAACCACCTCCAGATAGTGCAGTTATCAAAGCTGGATATTGTGTAAAACAAGGAGCAGTGGTGAGTAGCTTAACAAAATATGTGAAATAATGAAACATGAGTATATACTGGCACACTCTCAAATTAACATATAAATTGTTTGCTTTATTTTATGAAATACCAAAAGTGAGAGACCACCATGTGAGAAAGGGAATCAGGAGACAAAATAGGAGTTATTCTAAGGATAACTCAATACTATTATTTTCTTGGTCTGCAGGCAGCCAGGAAAATTAATGCCTGTTACTACTGGCCTTCAGTTTAAATGAGCTTTCCTAACAGCTGAAATTTATTCCAGAAAGTTTTTCTATTGATTCCCACCCTTCCTCAGGAGTGGGTCAGGAAAAGAGAGCTCTAGAGAGATCAAGGGCCAGGGGTGGGAGGAGGAGTGGGGTTTGGAAGGATCTTTTGCTTGATCTGGGGTTGGGCTGACCTCAGTGGGAAGCTCCATGACTTTGGGCTACCTGCTTAACCTCTCAGGCTCTCAGTTTCTTTTTAAAGGAAAATCATATATAAAACTTAACTGTCCAGGGGTTGGTTTTGTTTTGTTTTGTTTTTTAAAGATGTAACTAAGAGAGGTGTAGCCCTTCACACAGTACCTGGTGATTAGTAAGAGCTGTTATAGATTAGCCCAGATATTCCCACACAATCAGCTCCATGGTAAGAAATTTTTGCAAGAGCAAATAAATTTACCAGTATTTCTAATTTAAGGCATTCTTTCTGTGTGAACTAAATCTTTAGAATTTCATAAGACAGTAAATTTAAAGTTTAAAAATAAAGGAAAAAGTCTGTGAGTAAAGAAATGCTTAAAACTCTATTGGCTGTTCTGTTTGACTTCTTTTCACTTACCAACAACTCTAATTCCCTTAGGTCAGTGAGGGAAAGTTCTTTTAGCCCTGTCTGACCTTTAGGCTAAGGGAAATGAAGGCAGGGAAGGCTGATGGTTTCTTACCTTAGGATGTCTGCAGGGAGAGTCAGAATTCTCATCTAGCTATGATACTCAATTGTGTGTTAATTAGGGCTTTTAAGGAGACAGTCTTAAAAGTCTTCTTGGGTCCAAAGAGCAAGCAACGGAAATGTTAATAAACCACATGTATTTTACAGATGGAGAAATTTGATGTGGTTTATTAACATTTCCTTTGCTTGCTCTTTGGGGGAGTGGGGAGGAAGGGGAGTGCATTTTAAAAAAACTGTTAGAGCATTAAAAATATGCAGTCATATCATAAAAATCTTATAATAAAAGCTGAAAGCCAGCCACTAAAACTTGAATTAGGAGTTAAAGGCCTGGGTAGCAAAAGAGGGATGAGGTTTCATTTATCTCTTCACCAAGGGAGGTAGTGAGATTTTTCAGTGCTTGACATTTCTGATTGTGAGTTCACATATGAGAATAATTCAGTGGTGATTAACATTTGACATTGTTAGAAACAAAAGTCTTATGTTTGTGTTCATCTCTGGTAGATGAAAAACTGGAAGAGAAGATATTTTCAGTTGGATGAAAACACAATAGGCTACTTCAAATCAGAACTGGTAAGTTGCTGTGTCATCCATGTTGCTTTAAGAATATTTAAGAAGTATTACATTAGTGATTGTATATAATTTTTGTACTGTTCTCTGTTTTTAGGATAATTCTAGTTTTGAAAGGTATACACAGTTAATTTTGTCATGATGCTTTTGGTTTATGATATTTTTCTTAAATACATATTAAATAAAAAGATCATATCTTCAAAGTGGCATTCCACCTTGAAAGATCTAAAAATATCAGATACCCCCACCCCCCAGTCTATCATTTTCCTCTAAAGGGGCATTAGAGGAGCTGGTGTGTCTTAATAGAATTAAATTTCTAGAAGTCAGCACTTAACACTCTGGATTTCTACCTTCTCTTGACATTTTCTTTCCCTATTTCAGATTGACTTAAGATCACATAAGATGTTTTTGTCCTATTTCAAGGTAGAATCAAAGATTGAAATTTCCTCTTTCCCTTGTTTGAGTAGCATTCTTGTTTAAAATATTGTCAGGTGACTTGAGTCCTGTAATATATTATTGGATAAATTGAATAGAATTCTGTACTTCATCTATCCTGCCTCTTGTTGTGTGGAACCATATGCTTTATTTGAATGGGGAACCATGTGCTTTATTTGAATGAAGGTACCAGAGCAGCATTGTCTACTAGAATATTCTGCATGATGGAAATGTTTCCTATCTGCATTAATACCACCACATGTGGCTGCTGAGTGCTGGAAATGTGGCTAATGTGACTAAGGAGCTGACTTTATTTCATTTTACAACTAAAACTGATTTAATTTCATTTTCATTAATTTAAATGTACATAGTTACGCATAGCTAGTGGCTACTATATTGGAGAGTGGAGCACTAGAGAGAATAGAAAGGGAATATTTTAAGATTCAGGTGTCAGCTCTACTGGGAAGCTTTTAGACCCTGGATTAAGTGTCTTCTCTTTATGTGCCCATGGTACTGTATGCATACTTCTGTCATAATACTTCCCACTGTGTTTTGTAATCACATGCATGCTTATTTTTGCCACTAAATTAAATGAGCTTCTTGAGGGTAAAGACTCTCTTATACCCTTTTATGAACACAGGACCTGGCACTTAGTAGATAATAAGTATTTTTGAACAAATGAAAAATGGCATGACATAGCATAGCTAGCATAGCTAAATTGACAGGGGGGCCTTTTTCAGACTCAAGAGCCTCAACTAGAAGTTGTAATTTCTTGGTTCAAAAAGTACCAGGCTTAGTGTCTTAGAAGGCTACACTTATGCTTAGTTAGCAGGTTGACTAATTGATTTTAATTAATGCCAATGCTCTTGGGAAGAGTTATTCGTGCAACAGACATTCATTGAGCTCTGCATGGCCCTGTGCACTGTTCTGGGAACTGGAAATAAAGAGAACAGTTAGCAGTGGTCTCTGGCCTTCAGGAGTTCAGTTTTGCCAGGGTAGTTGACATGTGCCGCATCACCAACAGTAGTTTTAATGAGACAAGAATTATTATAGAAATATTTGCTAAATTTTGAAAACCGGCATGCTGTGTATTATGCTATAAAATCTGAGAGAAAGAATAAAGAACTATTACAGGATATATGGAAATTACACTCTGTGATTAATTTATAATTACTGACCTTTATCAATACTAAGGTGCACAGCCCTCCCTCTCTGACCCCATTTGAACATTTCTGAAATTTTAGGGATGTGTCTTAGTGGTGCTGAAGGTGAGGGGCAGTCAGGAGGCAGCAGCTGGGCTGGAGTTATTACTGTTTGCATGTGCACAGCACCTTTGGGTAAGGTCCAGAAGACATCAGCATCAAAATTTTCAGAAAAAAGTGCTGGCAGCTTGGAAGAAAATCTCAGGGACACAATGGAACATTCTTAAGAAATGCCATATCACAGACACTCAGCACAGAGAATGGCATGGAGTGAAAAACATGGGCATTGATGGCTTCAAGTCAAAAGTGGTTTGGAAGAGCTGGAATCTGAACATGAAGTTTTAAAAAACTATAGCCAGTTTATTTTATGTATGTTTTTCTTTTTTATATGCATTCAAGAATAATATGATAAAAATATTTAAAGTATAAGTGGGCTCTCTTACGATACCTTTTTATCATGGAGAAGTGTAAAACATCAAGTAAGTAGAACAGTACACAGAACCCACATGTACTCATCACCTAGATTTCATAATTATTAACACATGGCTCAGCTTGGCTTGTTTCTTTTGTTTTACCTCCCAATTTCTACTTCATATTTTAAGGCAAATGGTAGATATCACTTCTTCCGTAAATATTTTAGTATGTATGTCTAAAAGAGAATTTAAATGTTTTAAAAATAAATATAGGCTGGGCATGGTGGCTCACTCTTATAAGCCCAGTGCTTTGGAGGCTGAGGTGGGAGGGTCATTTGGGGCTAGGAGTTCAGGACCAGCTTGGGCAGTATAGTGAGACCCCGTCTCTACAAAAACATTTTTAAAAAATTAGCCAAGCATAGTGTCCTGTGCCTGTAGCCCCCAGCTACTTGGGATGCTAAGGCAGGAAGATTGCTTGATACCAGGAGTTTGAGGCTGCAGTGAGCTATGATTATGCCTGGGTGACAGAGTGAAACCCCATCTCTAAAATAAATAAATTAGTAAAAGTAAGTTTAAAAGATTTAAGTACACAGCTGAAAAACTGGTACAAATATTTGTGACATGTATTAAACATAAAACATTAACATTTTTCATATGTGAAGAGTCTTAAAAACTAGGGGATTCTTCATCATGATCCTCTTTGCCCTCTTCTTCCATCAGCCTCAATTCATACTCCAGTTTGTTAGGAGAGGTACAGCAGGGGGGGCAGCCACTGTGGGGGTCAGCTTTGGCAGTCAGAGCCTCTCCAGCATGAAGAAACTTAGCCCTGCGTGGAGTGGGGAGAGGAGGGCATCTACTCGGGGAAGGAGGTGTTGGCAGAGATGGTTGCGCACGTGCTGAGTGATAAAATAAGGAGATATACTAAGGATGATAAAAGCCAAGTTTCTTGCTGTCAGAGAAACTTGACACTTTTTGGTGAATGGATGGTATGTCTATATGTACCATGAGGAATGAGATAGTTACATAGTTTCAAACTACCTATCTAAAAAATAAATATTTTAAGTATAAGGGAAAAGAGTAACTTAACAGTGCAGAAACTGGCAAATACTACTTTAATCAGGTGGCCAGATGATTAAAATGAACTTCATTGGTAATGAGAGAAATAGAAATCATTTACCAACTGACAGGATAATGTGGGAAAAATACAGTATCACTTCTCTGATATTCCTGCCAAAGGTACATGATCTGAATATAATCATTAGGAACTATCAGGCATATCCAAATGAGGGACATTCTACAAAGTAACTGCCTTGTCTTCTTCAAAAGAGTCCAGATTATGAAAGTCAAAGAAAGAATGAGTAACTATTTAAGACTAAAGGAAAGAAAAGAGATGTAACAAGCAGATGGAGCCTGTGCTTCTGAATGGAATCCTTTTGCTCTATAAAGACATGTTGGGCACAATTTTCTGATTTGGGTGGTTGTATTGTGATTATGTAAAAAGATATCTTTGTAGGAAATAGTAATGTATCCAGGGATAATCTGGGCCAGGTCACCAACTCACTCTGAAATGTTTCAGAAAAATCAGTTCTTTGTGCGGTATTTTCAACCTTTGTGTAAATTCATGATTGTTTCAAAGTGTAAAAAAAGAGAGAAAATCAAAGGGGAAATACCTGGTAGGAAAATAAACAACAGACATAAATAGACAATTCATTTAAAAAGAAATTAAAATGGCCCTTAAAAACATAAAAAGATACTCAGCATCACTCATAATGAGAGAAAGGTAAATTAAAACTACACTAAAATATTCTCATCTATCATGAGAAGGCTGTGGCTAAGTGAAGAGATTGCCAAATACTCTCCCCCCAGAGCAACTGTAAATGCCATTTTATAAACAAAAGGAACCAAGGCCCCTTGGAGAAATGACTGCTTTCAGAGCTGGGACAGGTAAAATATAAGCTGAGCCCAGAACATCTAGTTGTGCTGTAAAATAAGGAAGTGACTCAGAGAATGAGAGGGACATGTCAAAAAGACATAGGACCCCCCCCCCATGGACTTCCAGTGGCCAAAACGTGGACAATTTAAGCAACAAAATAAAGATAGTAGTGAATTATAACGCGTAGAATAAAACTAGTCAGGAATACATAAATGGAGGAGGAAAAGCATTTTTAGAGTAAAATTCTATCTTAATATATGTGGATGGATTAATGAGGTTAGAAAACTCACCTTTCAGCAGCCACTATCGAAATAATGGTTTCAGCCAAGAATCCTCAATGTTTAATAAAACCAGTGAGCAGAATTATGATGGGAATCTGGGTATTTCATAGGCTGCAAGTATCTTCTCAAAAGATTCTTTAGCAATGAAAAAGGGAAGAAGTATGATTTTACAGTTCATGGCAAACATGACCTTACACAAGAGATCAGGGTTAACACACCAATAATGGGACATACTACTGTCACGTACATGCCTCCTGATAATCATGCACTGAGAAGACGACAGTGTCACATCTGTGGTTTCCTGTTGAAAATGTATAACCTGAATCTCAGCACAAATAAACATCAGACGAACTCAAATTGGGAGACATTCTACAAAAAAAAAAAAAAACTGGCTTGGACTTTTTATGACACTAAAGATCATGAAAGAGAAAAAAAGACACAGTAAAAGCTACTTAGAGACATGACATCTAAATACAAGATATGGTCGTAGATTGAATCCTGGATTAGAAAATAGTTTTCTTTTGCTGTAAAGGATAATGGTGGGGCAATTAATGAAATCTGACGATGGCCTGTAGATTAGATAATAGTATTGCATGAGTGTTGAATTTCTGATTTTCATAATTGTACTCTGGTTATGCAATGCACATCAGTGTTTTAGGAGATACATACTGAAGTATTTAGTAGTAAAGGTACATCATATTTACAACTTGCCTTAAACATTTTAGGAAAAATATATATACTTACATATTTGTGCATATATACACAAATAGACTGATAAAGCAAATATAAAATGAACATTTTAGAAGACAAGGTGCAAAGTAAATAGAAATTCTTGGTACTATTTTTTAAGTCTCTTATAGTCTGAAATTATTTCAAAATGAAGCTATTTTTTTTAAACTTAAAAGAAAAAGTCATGGTTTAATTTTTTTCTTTTTGATGCTACATATGTCTTAATCTCATGATCTCATATTCAGTGAAATACATATATTGTACTTCATGGAATGTATTGTATAAATATGATGCTATTAGGAACCAGTTATGTCCTATATTTATATCTTATATCTAGTTTTGTAACCTTGAGTGAGGTACTTAACATGTCTAACCTCAGTTTCCTCAGGTGAATAACAGTACCTGTATTGTGTTGTGGAAAGTGTGAGAGCAAACATTTGTAGCAGATGTCCTGGTACTTAGTAAATGCCTAGTAAATAAATGGTGCTTGTTAAAATAAGGTATTCATATAAAAGTGGTATTTATAAAATGACAAATTTAAGTCAAAGAATCTGGATGTTTACTGCTCTGGTGCCTTGTATATCAAAGTGACATTCCAAAAGAGGAAGGACTGCACTTAATGGGACACAGGGTTCTATCATGAAAGTCTGATGGTTAATGGCTTTTAATAAGCTACACTGTCATTAAAGCCAGAAATAATGTGAATAAGGTTTATATGTAGTTTCCCTGTTTCAAACAACTGCATATATGAGGTCACAGTATTTGAACTATTCTGATGTTGAATGGTTTAAAATGGTATATTTATGTTTTAGGTGTGCTTCAAGAAAGAAGTATAATTTTCGCATAGATCTCCAAGTAATGTAACTAACCCATGAAAAGATTTTAAGAATAAACATCTAGCTAGGCATGGTGGTGAGCGCCTGTGGTCCCAGCTACTCAGGAGGCTGAGGCAGGAGGATCGCTTGAGTCCAGGAGTTGGAGGCCACAGTGAGCTATGATGATGCCACTGTACTCTATCTGGGCAACAGAGCAAGACCCTGTCTCAAAAAATAAAAATAAAAAAAAGAATAAACACCATATATCTGTTTGCTTTTTTGCCAGGAAAAGGAACCTCTCCGTGTAATACCACTTAAAGAGGTTCACAAAGTCCAGGAATGTAAGCAAAGGTAAGGAACAGTTCTGACTTGATGCCTGAACAATTTATTAATGCAGAAGAGTGCCTTAGTTTGAATACTGTCCTTTTATATTTTTCCGTAGTCTAGTGTTGTTTTTAACTTTTTATAGTTGGGATATACTAGAATTTTCAACCCCCCCAGGTTAAAGTATTGAAATATTTTGCGTATTTAAAAACTAAAAGTTAGGTAACAATTCTTTTGTTTGTTTATTTGAAATCTAATACAAAAAACAACTTATTAATGGAAAGAAAATAATTAATATGAACAACATGTTATCAGATATGACAAATTGATATACTAATTTTAGTATTTCAAAGATGCTGCAGAATAGAGCTTTATAAGAAAATGTGTTGGCTGTGTCAGTGTCTCTTTGAGCAAACAGATTTCTTTAGTTAAAAACTTTGAACTTTAAAGTTGCTTTATGAACTTTTAAAAAAGTATAACTACATAAAATATGTAAAATTTAATGCAAAAAAAGGGAAAAGATGATAATTTGATTTTAAGTCAGTGTTTTACCTTTTACATTTATTTATTGACACATACTTGGTACTGGGTAAATAAGTAAAAGAAAAACTATCAAACTGCTATTTAAATACAATTGGATAATTTTTTTCCTAACAGTGACATAATGATGAGGGACAACCTCTTTGAAATTGTAACAACGTCTCGAACTTTCTATGTGCAGGTAAGATACTTTTTGAAGATGATAGATTCTCTTAAGAAGAAATTAATAATTTTAAAGGTGAAATAAACGTAAATAAGCTTATTGCTTTTGAGGTTTAAAAAATAGGACAACTAATTTATCAGCTTAGCAAAAAGTTGTTATATATAGAGTTATTGGTAGGTTACATGTTCAGGAAATGAGAGTATTCTTTGTTATGAATTAGTGAAATAGAACTAAATCAGGAAATGGGAATATTCTTATTAATTAGTGAAATAGAATTAAGTAGTATTTGGTGGAAGGGAAATGCTATGTTAACTTAGATGTTAAGTGTTTACCTTCACATTGGATTATTTTTACACATGTTTTAGAATTTTTGTTTTTCTATTAATGTCATTTTTTGGTAATCTTATAAAAAGGGAGAGTTCATTATAATTAATAATCCATAATAGAAGTAAACAGTAGATCTATGTAGTTTCATCAATGGTAAACATCCTGTATTTAAGTTTAAAATGTACTTTTTTGCTTACCACATTGAATTATTTAAATAGAAAGTTTTGTAAAAGAAGATTTGGCTATGTTTTAGTAAAGTTACATATGCTTATTGCAGAAAATTTGGGAAATACAGAAAAATATTAAAGTGATTTATAATATGATATTGTGATTTATAAAACACAATCTCACATTCAGGCAACCATTTTTATTTTTTTGCTGCTTTTCTGAATACAAATCTTTTTATAAGTGGGTTCATACTAAGTTTAGTGTTAACATCTTATTTGTTTCATAATAATGTCATTAAAAATTGTCTGAAAACCTTTTGGAACAGCACCATACTGCGTTGTATGAATGTTCCACAAGTAAATTGTTCCTTGTCACTCTGTTACCAAACATACCCATTCGTATAATTTTCTTACATTTCCTGTGATAATAAAGATGAACATCTTTGAGTGTAAATTTGCCTGAATTTCTTATTTCTGTAGGGTAAGTTTCTAGATCAAGATTCACTATCAGAGAATGATCCTTTTTATTTTGTCCTGTTTATTTCTAGAATTATGTTTCTGTTAGTAATAAATGAAAGTATATTCTACGTTTGCCTCCTTTGAGGTTTTCTTTTTTAAAATATTTGTTAATATCATTGATTCATAAATATTCTGTAGCTTTAAAATTTTTGTATTTCTAGATTCTAGAATCTAGAATTCTAAAATATAGAAATAAGGGATAGTATTTCTGCACCCTTTTCAGGATCTTGTTTAATTGGATTATTTCATAGTAAAATTTTAAATTCATTTGAAAGCCAGGCTCTATCAAGTAATATGATACTTTGGAATATGACTACCAATACTTCTTTTAGGATTTAGGGCACTACTAGAAATTATTTCTAGAAAAATAATATGTAAAATCATGCCAAAATGTTTTTTAAATTACACAATTTCATAAATATTGTTGTAGTAGATTGAGACAATGTAGCAGTAGATAGAGTGAAATACAAAGGGTTTTGACTATTTCCTCTCCTTGATTTCTCTCTATAAGTATTCATTATTGATACTTTTTGATACGTCTGATCCTAAAACACTTAAGTGACCAACTTATGTCTCAGTGTAGTAACTTACCCAGCAAAACCTGGTTTTAAAAAGTGATCTCTAAAATGATTTTGTTGGTGACAGTATTTAAGCGACCAAAATAGATACATTGGATTTATAGAAATAGAAGGTGATTTTTGAAGAAAAACTGACTGAATGAGTCCTTTTTTTTCCTTTAGGCTGATAGCCCTGAGGAGATGCACAGTTGGATTAAAGCAGTCTCTGGCGCCATAGTAGCACAGCGGGGACCAGGCAGATCAGCGTCTTCTGTAGGTTTTCTGCTCTCTGGGGTGATAGTCCCTTGAGTCTCCCCATCCTCTTGAGTTGTTTTCCTTCCTCTCCCCCTAATCCATCTGGTTTCTTTCTTTATCGAGATTTATTTGCATGTTGACTTTTATACCAATTGGACTTGCAAAAAAATAATGCATTTCTAATTTAATGCTTCCTTTGTAGTGTTATGTATATGTAGCTTTCTGTGCATTGTACTGTGTTAAATGCACAAGCAAGGCAACTAAAGAACATTTCCTTGCATTGTTTTAGAAATTATTACTTGTCGATAGGTCTAGATTTGACATAATGTGACAGATTCTTAGTATGGTATGTGGTCTAATCACATAAGACACCTTTAATTGTAGCATTACACGGTTTTGTGAACATCTCAGTTTCCTCTTTACGTCCTCTAATTTCAGTTCAGGTTTTTTGGTGGAACCTGCCAAAGGACCACTGAGCAACTGGAACCTTAGTGCAGTTCAGAGCTCCCAGTCAGTATTTTGCACCTCATGTTTTCATTCTCATTTTCTAGCAGGTTGACTTAAGAGCTGCCTCCTGAAAACTACCACAGTTCTCTTTGTGGTAGTATGATAAAAAGTTTTACCCAGAAATACTAATAAAAATGTATTTTATTTATTATGTTGAAGAATATCATAGAAATTAGATTTGGTTTTGGAAAACTTTGGCCACTGGTCTCTGATCTGAAAATACAGATTCTAAGGAATAAAAAATTGTAAAGAGTCTTAAAATATAGCATCGTCATTTGTAGAAAGTAGTGTAATATATAGCTTGATAACCTTTATTATTTAGATTCAATATAAATGCTAGATATTTGTACGTTTAGTATTTTCCTTGAGTAATATTATAATAATATTGCCTTTTATTATTTCCTGGTAGATGACTACAGATCAGTAAATAGATACCTATTTTTTTCATTTCTTAATTAAGTCATTCTACTTATATCCTTTTTGGAATATCTAAGAAATCACTTTCCTACGTGTTAATTTTGTAGCTGCCTGTATTTTATGTGACTTTTTCAGCAGACAACTATGAGACCCTGCAAAAACACAATGTCTTTTGGGAAGAGGAAAAATTGGAGAAGGGTGTTTGTGTTTTGTGCTTTGTGGTGGGGGCAAATTGGATATCTAGCTATGACTATCAGCAGAACTTTCTCTCTTCCTCCCTCTCTCCAGTATAGGTTAACTCTAATCTTAGCTTTGCACTGTGTTCCAGATGCGGCAGGCCAGAAGGCTGTCGAACCCTTGTATACAGAGGTATACATCAAGAGCTGGTGAATGCAGCACGTATGTGGGCTCTCACGCAAACGTGCCTTCTTAGTAGAGGGCCCAGACTTACTCACTACTCACAACTGATCATAGAAAGTTGAGTTAACCAAACTGCCTTTTGCAGTTATCATAACTGATTTTGTCAATACTAACGCAAACTATTTCACTATAGTCATCAGGTTGGATATGTGTACTTTAAAAAAAAATACAACTTTACTAATGGAAAGAAACATTAAGCTAGCTCTAAAAATTAATATGCTGAATTGCTGCAAGAGTTTCACTATCTATATTATATAGTTTGATATTTTTTAATACCACAACACTTGAAATGCACCTTTGTTCTAATAATATATGCAAACTCATGCATGCATATGCATTGGATAAACTGTACATTACTATAGTTTGCATGACATTTTAAATCTCTGATGAAAGATAGCCATCTAATAGGACTCTAGAGTGTTTTGGTGATTTGTAGCACTTTGTTTTCAAAGCCACTAGAATCATAAATAACACAATATACTAGGAACTGTATGGCAGTGCATTTAGAATGGTCGTACTTAAGGATATCTTCAGATATGATCCACTTAGAAGCATATTGAAATTAACATTCACAACTGATAATTATTTCACCACAATTTTTAAAATGATTAAATATGTACCCTGTATCTTGAGAATCTCAAATCATATGAATATATGATATATTCAAAACTAAATAAATGAAATTAAATAAAAAGTGAAAAGACTGTGCAGAGAAATTCAGGGAAACAAAAATTAGGTTTTGTCCAACTGCCAGCAAATAATGTTTGAAAAATGTTGATTCCTACTTATTAAAGAAATATGGCTTTTCATTATTCTGCATTTTCATTTTTTATCTTTCTAAAATGTATGGGATAATTCCTAGCATTGATTATAAATATACTCTTAAATAAAATGATAAAGCTGGTAGGCTCCCTTATAAACACAGTTCAGTTGCAGATGGAACACTGTATTCTAGTTTAGGCTGGCTGAGTCTTCAAAGTGTCATAAGCTGCCAAATTCAGCTTTGGTGACAGAACTGGTTTCCTAGTGGAAATGGTTGTTGGCTGTCATTGCTTTAAACTCACCCCTAAAAATGCATTGCTTTGGGAAAGAACTTGCACATTATGCTGCATGGCTCACGCTTCTGCTTTGTGTGCGTGTATATGTTGTGTTCGTTTTCCAGAGAATCAGGTCTCACACTGAGTTACTAACCTTGTCTTTGGTGACTGACTGTGTCTGACCCACACTCCTCTTTACAGGAGCATTCAGAATCCAAGCACGCTTTCCGTTCTGCCAGCGCAGCAGCCTCCGCCTCACATTCCACAGCCATCCGCAGCAACTCTCTGGTCTCAAGCTTTACCATGGAAAAGCGAGGATTTTACGAATCTCTTACCAAGGTCAAGCCAGGGAACTTCAAGGTCCAGACTCTCTCTCCAAGAGAATCAGCTTCCAAAGTGACTGAACAAGCTCTGCTAAAACCTCAAAGTAAAAATGGCCCTCAGGAAAAAGATTGTGACCCAGTGGACTTGGATGATGCGAGCCTTCCGGTCAGTGACGTGTGAGACGGAAGCGTGTGGAGCCTGTGCCGTTGGCCATCCTCAGTTTCCTTTCATGAGGGCTCTAGCCAAAGATGATAAAGGGTGGAATGGTTTCTAATGCATATGTTATACTGCCTCTTAGATATTCTCTTTATAAGCTGGAAAACCAAGAATCTAGGGAGTGGCCAAACTAAATATAATTTCTTTTTTAAAAAAAAGAAAGAAAAGAAAAGTGCTAAGTGTCTCAGAATCATCTGTCTGAAGCTTTGTGCGTTCTCATTTGGGTGGTAAAAATGTATGTGTGATTTTTTTTTTCCTAGTGACTTTGGCAGTTTAAAAGTTAAACTACTTAAAACATGAAAATGCTTATTGATTATTTTGGTCATTTTTAAATGGCTACTATGACTTTCTATTAGATGTTTGATATTTACACATTCTTATTGGTTAATATTACTGAATGAAATATTGCCAGACTAAAATACCTAAACTCATGAAGTCTGTGGTGCTGTTGAATTTTTATTATACTACAATGTGGACTATTTTGAAATTATAACCATTTTTGATGCCCTGGATCTTGAAGTGAGTGGTAAATTTTGCAGAGAGGATATTATCAGTGAGGGTTGTGGATTGCACTGGGGTAGAGAAAAGGGGAAAGTTAGAATTCAAATAATTGTATCTTAGATACTTATTTGAAAAAGCTTAATCAGGACTTGCAACAGTCAGTGCTTTTATTCAATGAAAAATTACCTGGTAGGAAATTTTTGGGAGATCTGATTTTCTTATCAAAGTTTTGTAAATAAATAGTTCTGATTTCTATATTTGGATCATCAAAAGACCTCAAGTTTATATGTAAAGACATAACTGCCCTTAGTCATGAAATTGTTGTGGCCTCTACTTTTTGTCACTAATAACCTATATTCAAGTGCCTGTGTTTTTTCATCTTGTTTAGGAATGTTTTGAGATTAATGTGCTTAAAAGTCCTACATGATTGGTTTTAAACATTGGGATAAAATTAATTTTCAGTAGCATAGTTTAATATGTTAAATAAGATAGCATTTTATGTTAAAAATACCAGAATGCTGGTATTCTACTACCTGTGCAATATATATCTTTTAAAAAACAAATTTGAATATACATTTAATCATGGGGATATCATATATATAAGCACCTCTCTAAAGAATCCTTAGTTTCAGGTGTTGAATTATAGACTAGTTTGAGCAAGTACCATTTTTTCAGTTCAGTCTTAAACATTTGCTTTAAGAAAACAATCTTGAATTTCACATGCTGCTATTTTTATGATGTTTTGCCATTTTATAGTACTGTTTTGTTTTGAATTCATACATATCACCATTTCTCCTTTTCATTTTCTAAGATGACTTTTTGTCTGAGACAGAGAAAGAGAGAAATTTCCTACTATAGTGGTGGGGTCCAGAGGTTAAGATATATTATACTAGAACTACATAGTCTCAGTTTAAAAATCCATATGCATAAAGAATACACCACTCAACTTTTTTATTCATAAGCTAATATTTTTTAAAAGTTATATTTAGATTTTTTTCTCTTTTGCAGCTACATTTTAAGATGATAGAATGAAAAAGTTTAAGTAATTACTTTTTCTGCTATGTCTATTATAATGGTTCTTTTGAAAGGTCCTTTTACATGAACACACCTAAGAAATCTTATATAGACACTTTGTAATATTCAGAGCCTGATACTGTTTTCTTTGGTATAGCTTCCACATTGCATGTTTGTTTTAGCATATTTTGGTATTGGCAATTTGATAATATTTCATGGTGGCAAAGTATTAGCTCTATTTTGGGACTTTTATAGAACTACCCATATTTAGTAGTATAGAAAATGTTCTTGTGATTGTCAGGGTCTCTTAATATTTATCTCAATTCCTTTATAAGTCTATGGAAATTATTTAATTATTTTAAAACTTACACTTTTGTAAATATGTCACATCTGAGTTGTCAAAAAATTACTTTGAATACCTTAATATTTGCTGCATTTTTTTTTCTGTATATATAACATGTCTTCTTTTGGAATGGAATATGTATGCCTCCCAATGTTTATTGTTATGTTGTTATCTTTATTATATATGTCAAACTGGTTGAACACTGTAATGACTTGAGAATAAACTGCTCAGAATTTATTCTAATTTATTTCTTATTTTGTTTGGTCCAGCTCTTGTGTGAATAAGTAAATAAAACTAGTATGGAAAGTGCTTGGTTAATTGACTTGAATTTACATATTTAAGAACAGTAATAATTTGGTAATCTTTAAAAGAATAAGAAATTTCGATCTGTGAATTCTTTTTTTTTTTTTTGAGACAGAGTCTCACTCTGTTGCCCAGGCTAGAGTGAGTGCTGTGTTGTCAGCCTAGCTCACAGCAACCTCAAACTCCTGGGCTCAAGCAATCCTACTGCCTCAGCCTCCTGAGTAGCTGGGAGTATAGGCATGCACCATCATGTCCGGCTAATTTTTTCTATATATGTTAGTTGCCCAATTAATTTCTTTCTATTTATAGTAGAGACAGGGTCTCGCCCTTGCTCAGGCTGGTTTCAAACTCCTGACCTTGAGCAATTAGCCTGCCTCAGCCTCCCAGAGTGCTAGGATTACAGGCGTGAGCCACCGCGCCTGGCCAGATCTGTGAATTTTTAAGGCATGGCTTCATGTGAAGTACAAGGAAAGTTTTGTTTTGTTTTAAACTTACCTGTTTTGCTGAATTAAAAAACATGTTCTGAAAAGCAAAATTATATTGGCTTCAGAGCATAGTTTGAATCATCTGGGCTGCTTAGGATGCTTGGTTATTGGTTAGGCTAGGCATGATGTGAGGCTGAATGTAGAGGGCATTTTGATCCCTTGATAGGCGTTGAGATGCACTCGTTAAAAACTGCACGTCAAGTGTTAGAGGCTGCTTGTTGCAAATATTCCCTAATGATAATATCCTATGTCTGCATCTTGGACATCTCATTATTTTCATCCTGTTTGCTGTGGTCTTGTTGATACTTCTTGTGTTCCTCTAAGAAGTTGTGTTTTACAGATACATAATTTTTATTTAAAGTTTATTCATGGGCACATTTTGTCCATTTTTTAAAAGAGCTACTTGAAACCAATTTGACTATTAAAATTAGACCAACAATACACAGTTACGGCAAAAATACTGCCTTTTGCATTAAAAGTTTCTGCCTTAGTGTCTCGTTGGTCTATATTCAATGGCTGTCTTAAACTAGGAGTCGTGGGCCCTGGATTCAGCCCTAACTCTGCCATATCTGACTTTAGGCAAGTGTCTGTGTATTTTGGAACTTCACTTTCTATGTTATGTAAAATGACAGAATTGGATAAAAGATATTCGTGTCTTCGTAATTTTTATTAACTGATGCAATTTAATTTTTTCCCTTGAACCTAAGTGTTTTTATCTTAAACTCCAAATGGGAAGGAAAAGTTCTAGATTTTTTTTCTTTAACAAAAGATCCCTTCCACAGCTTTTCTAGTTGCAGCACAGGAATTTTCTGTAAATGGTACTCATGCCTTTATCCAAAGTTCTGTTAAGAGTTGGTGAGACAAGAAATACTTGTATACAAAATGCAAAGATATACCAGCTTAATACCAGATTTGGTAAAACAGTTTAATATCAGATCTTTGTGTTTGGAAGGGTTTGTTAGTCCATACAGGATTTGTGTATGCTGTCTTATTTTTTAATGATTTCTGAAAATTGTATTTTTTCAAGCCTCAAGTAAGATACATATTGAAAATATTGTTGAATTGAGGTTAGCATAAATTATACAATTTTGATTAAAATCCTAATACTTCATTTTTTTGATGTATTTAAGTATACTTCATTTTTTTTTTGATGTATTTAAGTGAATTGTGCCTTACTATAGTATATTTATGTGGTAATAGTGCCACCTTCTGGTTATGTCATTGCTAAATTCAAAATAAAGTAATTTGGAGTCTATTTCACTTTATTTCACCCATCGTAGAAAATTACAGAAGATACGCGATTGCCTAGGAGAGTTTTTAAGTCAATATAAAATTTAAACCAACATTTATAAATGAATTTTTTTCAGTTAAACTTTTTATTTGGAGATAATTGTAGTTTCACATGGAGTTGTAAGGAATAATAGAGATCTCATGTACCTTTTAAGTTTTTCCCAATAACATCTTGAAAACCTGTGATACAATACTATAATATTGACACTGATACAGTCAAGATAGAGAACAGTTCCATCATCACAAAGACCGCTCTTTGTTGCCCTTTTGTATTCGCATCCATCTCCCATTTTACAGATTTGAAAACAGACATAAGTCACTTGCCCACAGTCACATTAGCTTACAGTGCTATCTTTTTGATACCAAGTTTGGGCTCTTAACCACTATGGTATTGCTGCCTCAGTAGGAGTCTTGAAAACTGTTCTTTGTTTATATTGCATTATCTTTAGATTATTAAATGAGTTGAATTTGTATTCAGTCTATTTTTGACATTTCTAGAACCATACTATTTCAAATAACATTTCTTTATATGTACCTTCAAGTTAACATATGAGAATCAAACAGGTGAGTTATCGTGATCATAACCTCCCCAGAAGATTTCAAGCCCTGACTTTTGAAATATAAATAATAAGTTTACCAGAATAAGGTAAATAGTAAGTATAATTATTAGATTAAAATAGGTTTAAGATGCCAAATTTTTGAGTTAATAGAGACTGGTTTTAAAGATCATCACTTAAGAGTGAGGTGTTTTTCCAGGTGAAGAAGCTTTTGACCCAGTGAAGTCTGAGTCAAGTCAGTGTCTTCAGTGTACAACATGTAGCACACAGGAGGCCAAAGAAGATGATAAAGATGTCCACAAGGAATTTGCCAAAAGAAGTGTAAAGTGTACTATGTGATAAAATCTAGCATGGAAAACTCCAGTAGCATGGAAAACTACACATCCAGAAGACTGAGGTGGTCCGCGAACGAAGGCACAGGTAGGAGCAGCATTGTGATGGAGAGGGCCTGTCAAAGGTCCCGAAAGAGAAAAAGGTGTTTTTAAGTCAAAACTATGTGGCATGACAAATTTGTAAATGTTGATTTGGAATTTGAAAGGTCCAAAAGGGTGCATATAATTTAAGTTGTTCTCTTAAAGGTTTATTGCCTTTTTCTCCCGGGTGAACTAGGGTACTTGTACCTCTCACACTAGCTTTCTTGAGGAGGGAGGAGGGGTGGAGGATGTAGGGAACTTTCCATGATTCAGGAATTTACCACATAAGCCTCGTTGGGTCCCCTCTGCCCCCATCTTTGGTAGCTTCACATTATGAACGTAACCTATTCCCTGTTGGAACTTAGTTACTATTATTTCCAAATAGGAGTCTTGGTCCCAGTGGCATCTATTTCTTGATGACCTTTACATACATCATGGTCTAGGTTCTAGTTATCACTCATGCTATCTGTTCTTCCCACACTTTTTTTGAAGGTTGAAGATGTCCCAATGGATTCAATGTGGCAAGTGAGAGGAAGTGAGGCATTAAGGGTAATAGCCAAGTTTTTTGGCCTGAATAACTAAAAGCCATGAATTGAGGTAGCAAAGACCGCAGGTAGAGCAGATTTGAGGGAGAAGATGATGATTGTAGTATTGAATGTGTTAAGTTTGAGATGTCTATTTGAGAATAAATGGCAGGCAGTTGGATATATACAAATCTTGAGAGAAATAATTATTGGAAATAAAAATTTGTGAGTCTTCAACATCTTAGGTGCTATTTAAAGCCTCGAGACTGGATAAGATCACCATTAGATCAGAGATATAAGAAGGAAAGAGGACAGGGAATGAGCCCTGGGGCACTCCAACATTAAAAGCTTTGGAAGAAGAGGAAGTAGCCATGAGAATAAGGTCAGAGACCACAGAGTCAATAGGATATCATGAGTATTTGGTCTCCACATCTTTGTGATTGTGAATTTTGCTGCTATAAACATTTGAGTGCAAGAGTCTTTTTTGTAAAATGTCTCTTTTCCTTTGGGTAAATACCAATGGAACTGGAGGCCATTCTTCTAAGTGAAGTGTCACAAGAATGAAAAAACAAACATTACCTGTACTCACCATTAAATTGGAATTAATCGATCCACACTTAGGTGCATATATGGAAATAACTTTCATCAGAAACCAAGCAGGTGGGCGGGGGAGGAGGGGATAGGTAAATTCACACTTAATGGGTACAGTGCGCACTATCTGGGCGATGTGCACACTTACAACTTTGACTCAAATAGTACAAAAGCAAATTATGTAACCAAGACATGTGTACCCCCATAATATTCTGAAATTAAAAAAGAGTATGCGGTGTCTTGAAGGGAAGAAAATGAACCAAGGAGGAGAGAGTAATGAGATGTGCCAAATGCTGCCCACCGGTCAATTTAAGAGGCGGACTGAGAAATGCCCATTGTGTTTACAACACAGAGGTCCTTGGTGGCCTTGATTGGAGTAGTCTGGTGGAGTGGGGGGTGGGGAGCAAAGAGGACTCTGGAGGAGTTTGCTGCAAGCAGAGCAGAGGAATGGGATAATGGTTGCTCCCACTGAAAGCGGAGGCCTTTTCATTTTTGTTTTTTTGTTTTTAAAGATAGAGGTTTATTTGTTGATGGAAAGATCCTATAGAAAAGAAAGATTGATGATGTAGGCGACAGGAGAATTGTCTTTGATGAGATGAGATGAGATGATGAGATGAAAGCTAGTGCACAAGCAGGGGCTTGACTGCTGCACCCGGGTGTTTGTTCACCTGTGGTGGGAAGGCACATTGTGTGGGTGCAGCCGCCAGTTAAATGGGTAGACGTGGAGTGTGTAAGGCTCTGAAAGTGTTTGCCTTAGTCCCAGTTAGGAAACAGGATCCTCAATTGCCAGTACGTTGGGGAAGGAGATGTGAGAGGTCTGAGCAGAGGATAGATGCGGAATTGTCTGGGATTGTCTAGAAGGAACGGACGAGGGAAATTTAGTATATCATGGGAGACACCAAGAGCCCGCTTGAGTTCTGTGGTCGTGAATTACAGTGTTAAATAAACAGCAGTAATTTCAGAAATTTCAGAATATTGTCATTTTTGTCATGCTCCTGATTTTGTTGGAAAGGCCTCTAGTGGTTCCTCATGAAGGATGCTGCTGGCTTTGGGCAGACAGAAATATTTTATCATGTTAAG